CAACGTTACCGCTGATGAGTTGCTTTGGTGCTCCGAAGCAATTGATGATGTGTATCAACAGTGGTATAGTGTTCTGGGTCATGAATGCGCTTTTCACATCAGTAGCAAATCGTCATCCACGTAATGTAGCATGCAGAGCCAGGGAAATGGAAATAGGTTAGTGATAAATTAGATACTACCAATTGCTACACTCACCTGTAGATCACTCCTAAAAGAGACTAGCTGCGGCGCTATCTGGAAGTATGTGGGATTGGTTAATTATCATGTAGATAACCTGTAACATAACAGTAACATAACATACCATAATAACACAATAAGATACCATTTGCATCCCGTAACATTTTATTGCCATAATCACCCAAGTATATTCTAAGCCCCCTGAGTAGTCACAACCATTTAATTGAAGATACCAAGTATATACAACCATGTACATCACCACCCTTCAATATTCTGGAAGTTGGTGCTTAACACTAATCGCGATTCTAACCAACCCGTTGAATATTCAACCGCATGCAACAGTATCTGGGGTCCAATCTGTGTGTGGTCGATTCCCCAACGTGTTAGGGGCGGGGCTGGCTGAATAGGGGTTAGGCTTCCCAGAGTTGGATCCGGCGGCTTCATGAATTGGCACGAGCGACAATCTTGAACAACTTGGAGTGTGGCAAGCAGCAATTCTGGGTGCCAAAATTTTCGACTGACTTCGCGCATAGTTGTGCCAATTGATGCGTGTCCCTGGTTTTCGTGTATACGTGCTATTTCCTTTTCGAGGTTTTCACGTTCTAGCACTGGAAGTATGGTGCTAGACGCCTTAGATGCCGAAGCATCTCCTGTGGCGTCCAGGGACATTGGTTTGACTAGATGCAGCTTATTGCCGTAGATTATCAACGTTTTCCGTACCCAGTTTGCACTAAGTTTTGGCGGCAGGGGTTGATCATCTAGTAGGTGTTCAAATATGCATTGAAGATCGACTCAGTTTAAGTGCTCAGGGTTTCCCAATATTTCCTGCTCCTGCGGATTTTCTTGCTGTGGTATCGATTCTTGAGTACTGACTATGGTGCTATGCCATTCTTCCGGTGGATAAGTATTTTCCGAGGGTAGCGATAAGTAGTCCGCCAATACATTGGCATTACCCCTTCGGTACACTATGCGTATACTACAGTGCTCAATGCTATCTAAAAATCGGACAATTCTGACGGGTTGCTCAGCTTTAGTCTGGACGGACTTAAGTGATTCTCGGTCTGTAACGACAGTGACGTCTGATCCCTCAACCCAGTGTTGCCAATGTTGTAATGCCATCAAGATTGCCAGTAGATCTCGTTCCTGCGCCGAGTATCGCTGCTGCGTTTCGTTGAGTTTGCGTGAAAAGTAGGCCACGGGGTGTTAGGTAGATCGAGAGTTGTCAGTTACCGAGATGCTGGGCTGCAGCAGTGCTGCTCCAAGGAATTTCTTAGATACATCTGTTTGTAGAACAACCGGTAGGCACCAGTCAAAGCATTTAACTACTGGCGCAGAAGTGAGCGCTTCTCTGATTTTGCTCCATGCTAATTGAACCTCGGTCGTGAGTGTGACAGGTGCGCATTTTGGTCCAGTGGATTGATCAATAAGTGGGCCGGCCAATCTTGAGAAATCTTGTTAGACTCTACGAGTCAATTGAAGAATGTATGAAGTAAAAGTAAAAAGTGTCAATTAATTCCTGGCTGCCATTTCTCTTACTGATACTATCTAGATTATGTACGTCTAGAAAATGGCAAATGCTCTATGTGTCCCCAACTTGTCCCCATAGACCAAGTTTCTCATGGTTTGGAACGAAACATCTCTAGTCAGAACAGATAGAGTTCTTATTGCTACAGCCCAAGCGAAACACTTTTTTCGAAACAAGTAACTCCAAGCTTTGTAAGCCTAACTCCTTAAACTTTATATCTGACATTAATCGCCTTCAAACTATCCACAGTTTGATAAATCTTTAATAAGAGACCGGAGGTAACCTGCGGCATTAACGAACCCGCGAATTTCAGAAGTTGTTTATGACATCGGTCTGTCTCTTATTGCAGATACCTTGCTTGGGTCGGCAGAAATACCGAGAAATGAAATCGAAACCCCCAGGAAAATGCCGTGGGTGGCGAAAAGTTGATATTTAGAGGTATTTAAAATCAATCCGTACTCCGCGAACCTAGAAAAAACCAGAATTAAACGTGCGTGGAGTTCTTCGGGTGTGTCTTCCCAGACTGTGACGTCATCTAGTAATCACGAAACAAATGGACGAAATGGTTGGAGGACTTCTTCCATAAAAGATTGGAATGTAGCTAGGGCGTTACAAAGCCCGAAAGGCATGACTAGCCATTGATAAACGCCAAATGGAGTGACGAAGGCGATCTTTTCGCTGTCTTCTTTATGCATGCGAATTTGTCAGAACCCATTTCGAGGTTGAGAAATGCATAATACTTGTGACTGGAGGCTCGTTGTATTTCATCTTGCGTATTTGGTAGATTGTGTGCGTGTTTTTTTTGTAACTTTATTTAGTTCCCTGTAGTCCACACATATTCGCCAGATTACTTTATCCGAGCTTGCGTTTGTTTTCTCTGGTGTAAGCAGCAGGGGTGCTGCCCATGGTCCTTTGCATTTCTTGATCAATGTTCCTTTGTGGGAGGTGCAAAAATCGTGGATGGCTTGAATTTGCGATGGACTGTAGCGCCTAGGTGGTAGTCTGATCGGAGGGCTGTTGTTGGTGTCAATGCGGTGTGAAGTTTTAGAAAGAATGTTGGATATCCTTAGAGATTTGTCGAAAATGGAAGGAAAATTTTCTGCGTATATTTGTCCATACTTTACACCTTGGAATGTGGTATTAGAATGCCACTTAATTTTGTGTATTTCTTTGGTCGTAAAGATTATTTGGGTCAGATTATTTTCGATGAAGGGGGTAAGGACTGGTATCTCTGGAAATTCGAGGAGCTTAATCTCACTGTGGGCGAGGAATTCTAATCCAAATGTGTAGAATACTGTTTGCCCAAGCGTGAGGTCCCCAGGGAAAGTTCCGTCGGGAACGACACCAGCTGTCAGGAACTGAGGATAGAGCAGCACCCTCATATTCTTTCCCTATACTACATCTGAATATTCTCTCATCTTAGAGCGTTTACCGGGTTACAATGGTTGCTATGGGTTACAAATGAAGTAATAGAATAGCAGCAGGCGCACCCCTTGAAGCCTTAGTTGCTCTGGTTACTATGATGTATATATGGGTTGGGTAGAGCCGATGTAGAGGGCCACGTCTTGTTTTCCGTCTTCCATTGACCTTGTCTCTTGTCCTAGTTTCTCTTGTCCCTTGTCCTCAGTTATAGCTAGAATCCCGAATTAGATTTTTATTATAGTCCTATCTGAGTCTACGACTATAGAGGACTTCTAGCTTCTAAATGAAAGAGACAAACAAATTTCGATAAATTCAACCATTTTAATTCCCAATATTTTCTTATAGATAGTGAGGAACAAGTCCTTAGAATCCCGAATTAATACCTTAGTCTATGACAAATCTTGTCAGATATCACTCGCACTTCTAAGTTATCCATAAAACACAACCCCTGGTACCCTCGAGTTTGACACCAGCCGAAATGGTGAAAGGTGAGGAAAACTTTTGGTTGTTTGGTGGAGAAAGGAAAAATTGCGCACTGACTAGAACATCTTCAGAGATCGTGGGGCCTCTACCGCCTATTCCACACATTGTGGAAGCCTGAGTTGTCTGGTAGGGGGTGAGCTTTTGTGCTAGAGAAGAAGAAATGTAACAAGAAGGGCATCCATAATCAAAGAAGGTGGAGAAACTGCACAAAGGAGATGAGGTTAAACGAGTGTGGAAAAGGTTGTGTGGCTTGCCATATCCCTCTCGCGTTGGTTTATTGCAGAGAGGTGGCGTGTTATTTCCGATGTTTACTGCCACGAAGTAAGCATCTTGACATCCTTACTCGTAGGACTGCTCCTGCTCGATTTCATCGAAGATCTTTTCCAGCTCATCATCGGTGACGTTGTCGTCAGCGTGTTGTACTTCGCCAGGTATTTCTTCGGGGTCTATTGAGTCTATCAGATAGTTCCCTTGATTTCTTGGTCTGTCTGTCCGCTGTGGCCTTTGATGCCGAGTTTTATCTAGTAGTGATGTAAATCTCTTCTTGAAGGTACCGTACTTATCGTTGCTATTTTCCCGCTTGTGGTACTGTGGAACTGGTTTAGTGGGGTTCCTTTGGGGGCACTCTCTAGCCCAGTGTCCCATTTTTTTACAGATGGCGCAGCTACAGTCGCGTATTGGGAACGAGTTTTCCGGTTTGGGCAGTATGTAGTCAGCCCTTTCTTGGGCTTGGAAGATTTCTTGCTGGCTCAACCTCGGATCTGCTACTAGGAGCCTAGATTGAGAGGATGCTCCTGCGCTGGTGCAGAGATTTGTTTGTGTTGGCCATTTTAAAATTTGGCCCGTAATCTGAACCAGGGATTCGATACCCTCACGAGTAGGTCTTCCTACCATTGTTGGCTATAGAAGCGTCCAAACATGGGGTAAGTAGGACTTTGTGATGTCCGCGAGGGTGTCGCGAGTTGTATCTCTATCGGCTTTAGATAGGTGATAGTAGCTGTCCCGGATTCGAGAAGCGAAAGAATTTATGTCCTCTCCGTCCTTGGCGGAGAGGACGAGAGAACAAAGTCCTCGGACTATGCAGGACGTCTAGTCGCTGCATTGTTTTGAAAATGTCCTCTTGGAGTCTCGGCCATGTGGTTGAGGGGTTTTCCTCGGCCCAAACACGTGTCCCCTGAAAATTTTCTTTCATTTCGAGGCAGAGACGTTGCGGCCAATACCAGTATGGGACCAAGACTATTCTTAGGGCTGACTGAATTTCAGCGAGCTCTAAGAAAACGATAGAATTCGCTTTGTCGAGGCGAAAGTCTGGCCGAATGACAACCTTGTTTTTTATGCTGGTATATGCCTCGTGATTTATCTCATGCGCTAGAAGTGCTTGAGGCCAGGCTTCTTAGACGAATTTTTCACCAGGCTTCAAAGCGAAAAATTCAGGCTCTGGTTTGGAGATGACAGTTGTGTTGTCAACCGGCATGGATGCGTCTGGCTTTGTCGGGTCGGATTACATGGTCGGAGGTATCGGACATTGAGAGCTTAATTTATTGGCTTCTTGGTTGGATTGCCTTGAGGCTTGCTTTGATATCGTACAGCATTACTTCGATGCGGTCCATCCTTTCAGCCGTTTTCTTGCTCTGTTCAGCTTGGTGTATGGCGATGTCAGTTTGCGAGCCTACTAGGCTCTCGAGCTTTTCAAATTGCTGTTTGATCCTATCGTTGGTCTCGTTTTGTTGGTCAATGTGTTCACGCAATTTTTTATTGACGCCCGCAATTTTCGCTGGCTCGCTCCTTTCAGACATGGTATATTGTTGGATAGGTTGATCTTACTTTTTTTTTAAACTTTAAAATGAGGTTTACTCTTCAAAATCATATTTTTGAGATTTCGAGCGCGCGTTGTATACTTAGTATACAATGGGTGTGGGTGTAAGATTGGGGTAATATCACGTGGTGTCTCGCGGCTCCTAACTACAACGGATCTTGTGTAGAGCTTGAGACTAATACGTGAATTCTATATCCTCTGAGTGTAGGATATCCCTACGCCTAAATACATCAATCCCTCCTTGCCCCTCAATGCCGAAGTGATCCATCATTATGTGTCGGTAAAAGGATCACATTTGGGTAGTGTGAATTGTTCTATGTATTTGCAATATTCAGGTTGTCGTTAGGACACTGGCAGGGGTCTGATTTAGCTCATTAGCGAAGTGCTTGGAGTATAGGAAGGAAAAGGAGAGACAACGTTTTATGTATTTCGAGATACAAGTTAATTGACATTATTCACCGACTTCGTGACGGCACCCAATTTGTATTACTTCGTGTTTTACCAACATTATGATTATGTAATGTTATTGTGCGACTTCCTATAACCCTATAAGTCTTTTCCGGATCCACACATGTGTAGAGAGAGTCGATCTTGTCGGGAACCTGAGACGAAACAGATAATGGTTGAGTCCTAAATTCGAGAGTCGGGATTTCCAACAAGCTTTAAATCCTCGCGCCCTGCGTGCTGAAGTACTTTGTACAGCCGCTCCGCCACTGGATGACCAAATCGTCAGTGCAACTGTCTCATTTCTGCTTCTAGCATATGGCAACACATAATTGAGCTTTCTAGATCTTCCAAAAGGTGCCAAGGATAACCCCATTCACGTACAATGGGGTACTTTTTATCATTGTGAACCATAACTTTCTCTACGTTGTTTAAATAGATACTGTGTCGGTACATGTCTGATAAGCAAAGTAGAAAGGGAGTATTTGATGGCATAACTGCGAAGCAGATTAGACCAAAAGAAATCTTGACATTAACTGTATCGAGAGATTGGGAATCTGGGCTGTCTCCAAAGCGAATAGAATACTGCCTCGCTGTTATTGTATCCAATCTGATATCAGGTATCTTTTTCTGTAATGCCTTGAATTTATTTCTGCCAGCAGTTGAAGTACAAGCAGCGCCAGTATTATTACGACTGACCTCAGGTAGATACTAGAAGACTCCCTCGAAAGATAAAAGAATAATCACTTTGTATTTGGACCTAAAGATACGCACGATGACTAAAAGACAAGGAGAGGAAGAGGTCTGCAGCCTCGCTGGACTGAAAACTCCACCAGCTCGCTTCCGGGACCGACGCTTACTCAAACATACTCCACGTCACGTAATACCATAAAACCATTACTTATAAACTCAAGCCGTAACAAGTATCAGGCATTATACCCTGAAAGCCTTCGGAATTGTATTGGCTCTGGAAATGGAAAAGATGAGAAGGTCCGTCGGATTTTCCATCATATGGGTCGATCCCTTTCAAGGCATGCATAACACACTGGTTATTTAGCAATTTAGTGGTGATGTGGCCATTTATATTACCACAGGCCGTGTGGAATTGGTCAAACTAATTATCATCGGACTTATTCGACGTGCTCGCAAGCCAGGCGTGAAAATCTTTGCTATCAGCACTGGTGTCCAAATATTCATCAATATCAATCCCTTTGTAGTTGACAAGGAATGTTTATAAGTCTTCGTTAAGCCCCATATCTTGGGCATAGGAATGCCATTCAATCTGGCGTTGCTTTTGTTCTTCAAGAAAGTGCCGGGTTGAACAACATTTTGGCTTACCACATACAGAGCATTTCTTATGCTGTCTCTGATTGTAACTTGTTTTGAAACCACCTCGAGGGAGACTACCACCATTATTACCATCGCGGCCACATGGACGAGCATTACCCATTTATCATCTGTCGACGTAATACTGGCTATTTTCATCAACAGCCATCGAATTAAATGTCCTGGTTGAGCTTGTATATGTTCCCATCCACATGCCAACCGCGCTTCGAAGATCAGAAGCAAGACCTTAGAAATTTGATGCCTGACGCACTTAAATAATAGAGCAGGCCTCAAGTTTCTGACATACACTAATTAACTGCCCGGGAAGGCTGCGATTGTCATTGCAATTGTGCACAAAGCCTTGGTGAACGTTCTGAAGCCTATTGATAACCATCTCGAGGCACTCAGACATACTTTTCTCGGTGTGAGCCTCTATTGAGCTCTTAAGTGTGGTTGGGCGCCACTCCGAAAGGTAAGCCTGGTAATTTTTAGGCGTATGGAAGTAAGAGCGTGTCTTCTTAACCATTTCATCGAAGCTAAGATTCTGGCAAGCTAGGTGCTGGTAGTAAAAATCTTGGACTTCATCCTTGAGCATGGTAGAGTAGGCTGTACAATATAAGTCAGGTGTAACTCTGACTTCGTCACACATGTCGTAAAATACTCTGAGCTTCACATTCAACACATGATAATAGTTGCCACCAAACTTCTTATTTGAATCACCGTAAAGCTTCTCAAGATTCATCAGTACTTTTGCTTTGATTATTCTTGTGTGTGGTTGACTAGAACTGTTACGTGGTTGAGAGAAATCTGATGGTTGAGAGGGTAGGTTTAATATCGGGGGGTGTCACGGACTGACTCTGTAATGTTGTGTTGCACTTGGCCAACCGTGTTATGAGAGTACTCAATATCACAGTTAATGCGTTGTAGTACTTACAGTGTTGCAATAGCAACAATTACCACCCGAGATACTAATTAGTTGCTATGATACAAATGTAGGCTATGGTACCACTAGTTTTGGTAGCTGCTCTCATGTACTGAAGGGAGCTCTGAGACTGTATTTGGACTGTAGCTTCTTGTCATATAATTGATCTACTCTCTTGAACCTCATCTTTGTCCTCGTCCTCGTCTTCATCCTAGTCTCCGTCTCCGTCTTTATTCTAATCTTAGTCCATCGTCCGCGAGCCCTAACAGGGGGCAAGCTTGTTGTGGATGTAATTCTTAATTGAGGGCAGTAACGTTTTCAGCAAGAGGCTCCAGTTTCGGAACGGAGGCAGGTTATGGTGTGTGTTTTTTTTTTTTTATACATTCGGTCCTAAGCTAAAGCTATGTTTTCCAAATTGGGTCAAGGACCGGCGGATCCGGCAGGGTTCCCTGTAACTTTTCTTACAGCCTAACTCGTTCCAACCTCGTGAATCGCTAACAAAAGTGCAGCTGATTGAACAAGAACGAAAAACCACAAAAATCAAAACAACTCCGAATACCAGAAGATTCCTCCATATTGGACCCAGTAAATGCGCTCCTCACACATTCCCTCGTCCGTTACACCTTCCAAATGACAAAATTTATTCAATCTCCGCTGAGAGCAAGAGATGAGTTAGCAGGCTCCTTTGATCCAGCCGGTATCCTGCTATTGGTTAGTAGATGCCCCAAAAGGGGACATCGTCGAGGTTGCTGTGTCCTCAAACTTCTTCTTCAGATCCCAGAGCTCCGAAACCTGTTGCCTCGGCCATCGAGACATCCTTCGCCGCGGCGATGATCGCCTCTTCGGCCTTTTTTGCTGCAGCCCTGGCTCGTGCCACCTTCGCGAACTCCCCTTGTTCGATGTGGTGAGTCCACGCGAGGTGCTCTTTGGTCACCGGTCCCCCACAGTTGCGACAGCGTGTGAGGGCCTTGCACTCTGTTTCGGAGTGCATATTTGATCCGCAGTTCCAGCAAGCCAGAGCGCGGGAGCAACCAAGAGTGGCGTGGAAGCCCAAACAGCGTTTGCACTGTTCAATTGATCGACGAGGCTTATGGATGTTAGCCATACCCGAATCGTCGAAAAGGCGGAAGCCCGCACGAGGGGCTTCGTCCTGGTGAAAAAGGGCATGCCAGTTTCGATAAGGCGATCCATGCCGACATGTCCCATGAGGTCGGACCTGGATTGGATACGCGCTGGTCGTAAGGAAGATCTCAGCGGTGACACTTGCAGCATCGGTCGCTACGGGGCCGTACTGTGAAACGATACTTACAGGTACGTTCGGTATCTGTAAGGCGACAAGATCCGAAGATGCTTCGAGTTTGGCGTTTTCACTTGCCAGCTTCGGAGAGACATCTAGGATCTCTTGTCGTATTTTTTCGTTCTTTGCTATAATAGCAAAGCCGGTTATTACTTGATGAATCGAGGTTATATCATTGTAAGAGAGATTAAACGTGTCCGCTACCTTACTTTTCACAATGTTGTTTGAAAGATTCCGCCATGGGTGCTCCTTTTCCAGGCGAAGGAACAGTCGCTTATCGACTTTCACCTTGGGAGCTTCTTTCTTTTGGGCTCTCGCCGCAGGTCGCGGCACAGCCTTTGCTATAGGAGCTGCATTTTGTCGCAGTCCATTTTTGGCCACCGTGGCCCAGGTGCTTTTTACAGGCAGCACTGGGACGGCGGGAGTTGTATTGCTCCTGGCTTCTGGAGCCCTTGGGGTCGGGTTCGCAGGGCGAGGAGGGAGGACGGGTGGCATGATGGCCGGGCCCGTGGCCATGTATTGCGCAATGGCGGCGCGTAAGTAGACTCTCATCGAGTCTACGAATTGTCTATTTGACCCGCTGGTCAAAGGGAGGAGGGTGGATTCGACGCCAGAGATGGCGGCGGAACAGAGGGCCAGATTTGCCGCTGTTTCGGCGGCGCGTCGTTGTTCAGCTTCGACAATTGGTCTAAGCTCTAGGGGACACTCTGCTTTTGTGTCAGCTTTTGGCTGCGACGTTGATTTTGGCGCTGCTTTGAATGCAGCGTTTTCCGACGGTTTTGACGCTGTCGGAGGAGATTTTGACGATTCTCCAGTCCCGTGAGGGACGGAGGATGGTTGGGGAAATTCCTCAACAATTTCAACTGACCCGATCATGTCAGTATCGGGCTCAGTGACGGCGGGGAGGGCTTTTTCCTTCCCTTTAGTTGAGACCTTGCTCATCTCCGCGCATTTCGGAGACTGGGCAAGATCAGGTAATTTTTCGAGAGCCCTCGGGCGGACTCTCGTGTTGTCCAACTTGGCGTTGGGGCCCTCTTACGAACAGGTGGCATGGTTAAGGTGCCAGCGACTCGATGACAATTTACTGAAGGAATGCGACGAGCGCGAGAGGGATGGAGATGAGGAAAGGGTGAAGATTCGAAAATTCGAATTCTCTCAAAAATTGTGTGTTTGATGGGCGAATTTTCAGGCTGATGTCTTATTGTCCGTCGAGGTTAGGATTGTGATGTCGGGACTTAACATCATTAGCTTTTTCCAAGTGCAATTCAAGTTCATCTCTAGGCTATTCGGGACACTCATCACACTTGAGCAACTGGAATAGTTGGTCTGACACTTGACCTCGACCACCAACGTAAACGCCGTTATTCTTCAGACTATCTTTGAGCTCCCTGCGAATGTTCTTGTTGGCAATCTTGAGTAGGTCGACCTTCCAGCCTTCAAAATCTTCCTTAAATTGGTTCGATAGTACCCTGACTAACTTTTTGCTTGATTCATAGAATTCGAGAGAGTCGACAATATGTGTATTAACGAGTTCAGGTGATACCATATCCTCATCTTGTACATCGATTTCTTAACCGCTTAGATTGTTGTCAATAAGAGCTGCTACCAATCCTTTGTTTCGAAGGTCGGCCTTCTCGTCGCAAATCGATTAGGTTCGGCTTAGGTAAAGGGACAAGACGTTGTTGGTCTAGGAACTTATTAACTTTGAGCCTCGAAAACTGGCTATATCGATGATTGAAGGTTGAATCTGTAAAAATGTTGTTTGTGATGGACGCAGATAAAATTATGATACAATTGTAGAGTTAGGACTGATTAGCCGTCACCCCTTTAAAACGTCGTTGAGCCCTGGAGAGATTCGTCGCCTGACCGCAGACTACACTCTAATTCACACACTATAAGACATATCATCTGAAGCGTCGCTTCTTTGCCTAAATGTTGAGACTGACCGCGTCAACACTTTCCCTTGTGGAATACCTTGCTATTCTGTGGTTGTATGACGAAACTTGTCAATTCAATCACTGATCAGTGTTGGTATGACAAAGGTAATACACTAAAAGTCTAATAGTTCACTTCAAGTTATGAGATTATTCATGTGAGTTGTTCGGACTATCGCTCAGGAGAAATGCGCGTTCATGGTTGTTCGTCATTTTTTGAATTGATGCTATGGAACTACTATCTACCTTACATTCGGAGAATGCTTGATCCGAATGTCAGAAACCACAAATCAAGAGAACTGGCTTAAGCGACGCAACAACCGCCGACTCCAAATAACTCCAGCTAGATGAATCATTCCGACATATGTGCTCATAGGAAATTCATGTAGCGTGACTAGCATAGTATAAATGAGTAGGAGAAATACTACCCCAAGACAACAGTGACCCATATATTATTTCCAACGCAATAATGTCATATATTCTAGGTCTCAACAATCATGAGTGGCCATCGCGAAGTAGTAGGCCCTGCGTTGTGTGGAACTAATTATATGAAGCAGCCATAATATTATAACTGATGTAATGCAGCCAAGTTTAATTAGCAGCGACATTTCTAGTACAGTTCAAGCTGGCGTGTGTAAATGGCCTATCCGGAGGGCAAGACTGAACACCTGTACGCAGTGTCCTCTTAGAACCTAGGAGTGAAATATTCTCCCAGAGCCAAGCTCAGTCAAATTTCGCAATACCGAACATATTAGCCCACGAGGCAATGATTCAAATTCCTCCACCACGTCGTTTTTTCGCTCCCAACGAGTTTGACTCCTACCCACGCCTCATCAAGTCAACAAGTACGACCTAGTACATCTTAATCCCAATGACCACACCTCTCTTCGACTTTCTCTGGCCTCAGCTGGTCGCCAGATACACGCCCACGCCCATATTTACACCCGCTGGAGGAAGCAAATCGTGGCACACAAATCTGAGATACAGTTCTTTGGGATGGACGTGAGAGGGATCAGGACAAGTTCATAAGATGATGCAAAGGATGGATACATTCTCGACGTGCGTGAAATTTCGAATTTTGGCAAAGAGTTTTTAAAAATTGAGCTTTGTACGCGCCAAGACTTCGCTTGCGAGAGTGCAGCTGATACTATAAAAACAAGCAAACGATGGAAGGTGTTCTGGTCCGCATCCTGGTGGTGTTCTCTGGTATAGTCTGAGTAGCCTGGGTACCTACTACACTTGGGAAGGAGATACCAAAGAACATATTTCGCGTTGAGATATATGAACGGATGATGGAGGCATGTCTGGATAACCCAGGGTTTTTGAGACGTTCCCCTGGGTGGGTATTCACGGATGAGGGTTGACTTGGGGTGAAGAAAAAGCCATCATAACTTCACAGTGGTACTTACAAATGAAATCTGAGGCATGAGTACTCTTCTTATAAATTGAGTTATCTTTTCTGTACTTTTCTTTGATATTGTGTCATAGGTAGATAGCTGCATACGCAATTAAAATCTGATATAAAAATAAAAAATAAAAGATGGCCTATCCCAAATATCGGTTAATTGACGAATTCCAATCACCTAGTGTATTCCTTCGTGAACCCAGAGCTGTATCAGCTTGCGGCCTGAAATTGCCTAAATTGTTGGACTTAATATTTGGGGCTATCAAGTGGACCGCGTTGTTGATCTGCACGTGACTATACATTCTGTACTTAGTTTCACTTCGGTAGTTACTTGAATTAATGCGCTCTACAACCTCAATGACTGAGAGGTCATTATTTCCTTAGTATAAACTCCCAGACTACCTGTAGAGTTGGGTTGGTTGGTGCAGTGGTACACCTTTCGGGCCGTTCCCCCGAGCAAATTCTGGATAGCTTGAACAGCTGCTCCATTTTAATTAAAGAAAGGCTGGTACGAATCTAGTAGAGCCCACACACCATTCTCTCTCGATGTGTTATTGTCCCCGTAGGATTATAAAAGCACATCTGGACTTCCACATGTTACTCACGCTTTTTTCTGTGGTGGTTGTGCACGGAAGAGGTTATACGCCGTAAGGGTTAACCTCGATTGGTATCTGCAGATGAGGTATGAATGTGAGTGTTCTAAAAAGTCAAATCGAGTCATCGTACTTATGTACATATCTTCCGATTAAACCTGCATGGGCCTCAAGGCGCCAGTTTAGATAAAATGAATTTTATATAAACATATACCAGTCAGTGATCATAGCCTCCACTACTGTGGTGGAGGCCGTGCGCTATCGGTCACAAATGATATTATTTCTATTAGGTTATATCTTTCTTGTCCATCGACGAGACATTTTATACCACAGGGCTAACTCTTCAAAAACTAGTTTCCTATTTGCTTCCATCATACCACCATCGTTAGGTTCACATACCACTCAAAATAACATGGATATAGAGAAGGAAATTGAGTGACGAGACAAACACTTATCTCGAGAAACCTTGCTTGTGATCTATATTACCAGAGGCATCATAAACAGGAGATTTATGTATGATTCACGAGCTAGACTTGCTCTATCCAGTGTGTTGAAGTCATATCAATCGCTCAGATATCACGACCTATTTTGCCCATAGGAACAATTGGTTGAAGCTTTGCTAGATCCAACTGTTTGCCCAGTGTATGTGGATAATCAGTATCCCATAGGCGGTTATAAAAGCGTTTAAATTCATTCTCCTCTTTCAAATTCTTCAAGTATTTGTCGATTTGGTAGGAAAGATTACTCCTGAAATTCCAAATATTCAGGTCTGTTCCAAGCATGTTCATTAAAATCATCCGCCCGTTCTCTGACTCGTGCCCTATTTGCGTAAGGGGATTCCAGCCATTGATCCTGGCTTCAAACAGATGCAAATATCCCTGATACTAAGCAAGTGCTATAGACTTTTTATCCCAGTCGGTACGCCGGAAAATGTGGCCTTTTTCGATTAGTTGGTCCAGTGAGAATGTATTGGCAATAATGATAGGCCTATGTTCGCCGGATCCCTTCTTTGCAAAGAAGCGTTCGTAATCTCCAATAACTGAGATGAAACCAGTGTATGATAGGTAGGAAATAGTTTGGGGTGTGCATGCTGTTTGTTCGAGCTCCGAGTAGTCCATTCTTAGCCTATCATGTTTGTTCATAGTGGCCACAATATTATCCCAGCACGTGACTGGCTTGTCGGGCTGAGGGTTTATGTATTTATATGCTAAATCTGTATGAAGCAATTTTGTCCTCTTAAGCCTTGCAATAATTTGTTGATCCCCCAAAGCTACTGAGCAATACACGGCAGTAGAAGTCCCAGTGCCCTCGATTGGCGATGCGGTCATTAATATATCATCAGCCTGCGGGAATTCATTTCCTTGATGAGCAAAAACTCTATAGCTGTCATCTGATATTTCGCTAGTCACGAAGATCAAGTGATTTGAAGTCTGATATTTCGATGACGCTATGAGAAGGAACGCTACGATACAGGCCATAACGGCAGTGAAGCCGATACCTTCGACCTTGATTAGATAGTATCACGTACTGTTCGCACGGTCAAGACCCAGATTATTTTGATGAGAGGTATTTATGTTGTTCAATTAGGCTTCTGCACAGAACAATTCGAGAGTTTCGTGCGTATTCTAGGAGAGCATTTCAAAAGAGAGGAAAATTAGATTTTGCTGTTGGACGAGGGCATTTTTTAGCCACCATGGGTGCTCGTCTTTATTAAGATATCTTGTAGATTTCACCCCGTGAACATTTATTCACGAGTCAGACTTAATATTCAGATCGTCTCATGGTAATTCGGAATGGAAAAGACACCAGGCGCCTTGCAAGAGATCTAACTAGGGAGGATTAAAGGGGAAATAAACTGGATCCTCGTCACTTGAAGTAATCTCGCTCATAAGTATCTAACTGCACTAGACTGGCGGTAATAAAGATTAAAACTTGCTTTGGATTGCTATTTCAAACTTGTCAGGCATAAGCCCTGAATTAAGAAGGAATGACATGAGTAGTTTTTCCCAAACTCATAATACTACCTACAAAACTAGTTCTTGACTTACTAGAAAAAATGGAGAGTAAGACACAATTTCCAGGTCTGTTGCTCTGCGCCACGATTGCTAACCACCAATTTATCAATTTCTACAGCGCCAATTTTTCTGTGTTGGTAGGAGCCATTTCCATAAACCTCGGTCCGTGGAGGGAATTGTTTTATTTTGTTCATTTACATGCTAGGTAAAGTGATTCCCGTTGCACTCCTACCGGAGCTTAAGCACGGGTGGGGCCAGGCTGGATCAGGTTAACTACCATTAAGTACATCTACCACGTCCCACCTTAATGACCGGACCACCTCAGACTTAACCCATGTGTTGGATCATGTCAAGCCCAACCGTCCAGAGGACCCCCTTTTGGCGCGCCGAAGCGCAAATTCCTCCTCATCCCCAGCCTCGGCCACCACGCGCTCGAGCCCTTGACACCTTCGCCGTCTGTAACCTTTCCCTTCGATTCATTCGCAGCTTTGGCTCATCTAAGCATCTCCTCATCTCATCCAAGGGTCGTTTTCTTCACTGGAGGCCTCATCCAGTCGTCCACCAAGGCCTCCTCAGTTTTTATTCCCTTTTGATTCCTTCATGCAGCATCCCTCTGTCCTTCAGCCGATCTCGTCATTCCAGAAACTTTGTAGAATGTCCACCCCTCCAGCCTTGCCCCGTCGCTGCAGTACCCCAAACCGAGGAGGTCGAAAACACGACTGAGAGCTCAAGACCGAGTCACCGGTGCCCTAGCCTTTTTCGAACGCTCTGGTTGGTATGCCAGCGAAGTGTCGTACGTATTTCGTCGCTGGCAATTCGTCGCTGGTCGAGTTGTTGGTGCCCTGTGCCGAGGTGAGGACGCATTTAAGGCCGGTATTTCGAATGTACCTTCACAGCGACTGGCAGTTACGGAGGGTCGGACATCTTCTTGCTTCTTAGTTGGCGATTTGGCTTTTGGAAGCATGGGATGGCTTAGGTAGGTGGTGAGATGATTGTGGAGAGTGCAGCGAGATGAGTTTGGTTAGGAGTGATTTTCCAGAGAAAAAGAAAATAAGATGTTGATGGTGTCGGTTTTTGTAATACGAACATCAGACAGGTTATAGGCTGTCTGCGGTTCGTATCTGGAGTGTAGATGGTTGATTTCGTTGAGTTGTGCAGTCGTGAAATCTCTGTAAGTCGGATTTTCGACTAAAAATAAGCCAACACCACTCCTCCCGATCGCCAACTCGGCGAAAACTCTCAAATTCACCCTTTTTCGTGACAGAATCTCGAATCTGTGAGAAAATTTCACTCCCAGGTTTGTAGAGGACCCCACTAACAGGTGTTCGGCCTTCGCCATGGAGGTAATTGTGGTGAGTCCAATGTATTTTTTGCATCAGATTTTAATTGCGTAGCAGCTGTCTAAATATGATACAATATCAAAGAAAAGTTCAGAAAAGATGACTCAATTTACAAGAAGAGTACTCATGCCTCAGATTTCATTTGCAAGCACCACTGTGAAGTTATGATGGCTTTTTCTTCACCCCAAGTCAACCCTTATCCGTGAATACCCACCCAGGGGAACGTCTCAATAACCTTGGGTTATCCAGACATGCCTCCATCATCTTTCAACTTTTCCCCGCGCGAAATGTGGTCTGAGATGTCTCCTTCCCAAGTGGAGTAGGTGCCCAGGCTACTCAAACTATACCGGAGAACACCACCAGGAGCCGGCAAAGACGAATTCTTCACCTTCCAGTGGTGCCGGTGTAATCGCTCAGTATGCTCTGCACATCTGGGATAGCCAAGAAGAATCGCATCCGAATCGAAGTCTAAAGCAACCTCAAACATATCTCCATTTGACGACTTCTCGACAATGCCTCTCTTATCATTATCATCTGAGTCCTCAACCCATCTCTAACCATGCATCATCTCGCCTCAACGACCAATAAAGAAGTTGCTCCAATTGCATACAGGAGCTTGCCTTATTGATTACCGGCCACCGCTAACTTCAAATTTACGACGCTACGTATACCCGCAATGAGGAAATGAAGGCATAATATAAAAAGTTGGGTTCTTGGTTTACGGGGGACTGATGCTCTAATGGGACGAACAACTTGGTGAGGAACAGGCTGCTGAGGTGTGGAGCGAGAGAGGAAAGAGGTATCTGGAGAGCGTTATGGGACTGACATTTTCGAGGAGTTTTCAACTTTGGATTTTTTTGTGGGCGCCAAGACCGAGATTTCGGCTAATTAGCCAGGAGGGCTTCTCTTGTCGATGAGTCAACGGTACTCCCCAGCGCCCTGGACGGCACAAAAGAAGCTAGGCTAAGCTACTATATAGCAATCACGCTCTGTCAAGACTTTTCTGACATTTCACTACGACCTTCGGGAAGGAGTCGGAAGGAGGCTAGAAAGGCAGAGTGTGAATTCTCCGAGGTACCCGCAAGTCTGCAGCGCCCAGCTGGCCGGCCCCTTCGAACGCTTCGGAAGAGTCACTATGTCTTCGGATTTAGTCCTAATTTCGGTATTAGGAGAGCTCCGCACCCAGTGGTTTTTGCGATTTTTCCCGGCTGCCATACACCCGCAAATGGCCATCGTTTCGTTGGCTGGAGAGGGGAGATAATGAAGAGCAAAGGGCTCCTCTTAGTGTATGATCGAATGAGGACTTGTGAGGGGTGGTACTGTTTGAGGGGAGCTGTATGGGAGGCATAGGAGGGAATATACTATTGGTATAGGTATCCCTGGCCTGTAGGCAGAGAGGACCTGCAAGTCATATATAGTCATAGACTCAGACAGGACAATAAAATGAATTAATTAAATACCACCCGGAAGCGGATCACAACACCTTCCATCGTTGCCTGTTTTTAGAGTGTCGGTTGCACTATCCTAAATCGTTGCCTCGGCGCTCATAGACACCCTTAAGTCGAAAACACTCGAAAAATATGCGTCCCTGCATGCCCATCTGTGACCTCTTCACTCGTTCGTCCCACGTGCCAGCTGCCTGTCCTCCCTCAATACGTGAAGCCCCATTAGAGCAACGGTCCCCCATAGACCAAGGCCCGACCTTTGTAGATTATGACTTCAATTCCTCCTCGCGGGTATACATAGCATCGTAAATGTGTAGTGGGAGATGGCCGGTTTTTGATGAGGCAAATGCCCGATTGCAATTGGAGTAACGCCATCGTCGGTATTTGAGGCGAGGTGGTGTGAAAGATTGAGGTGGAGGACTCGCGTGAGAAAGATAGGTCGGACATTGACGATAAGTCGTCGATTTAAGATATGCTTGTGAGTGCTTTCGACTTCGATTTGGATGCGATTCTTCTTGGCTATCCCAGATATGCAGAGCATATTGAGCGATTACACCGGCACCACTGGAAGGTGAAGAATTCGTCTTTTCCGGCTGTGCCATCATGATGATGATGATGATATTTTTATCGTGACCGGGTACTACCGCAGCACCCAGAGCGCATGGTATGGGTAGTCCAGATCTAATTATGACTCTTCGCTACCTATATCATTGTTTCGCAGAAACCTTGAAACACAAAATTGAAAGCAAATAAAACCACCATTTCTAAGGTGCGAGTGCCCTGCACTACACCTGTGCCATCACGATAATGTCCATGCACCGATCTTAAAATCGACGGCATCTCGGTCAAGGAAATGAAGAATATGACATTTGATGAGCCGCCACCAGCAAAAAAGCAACGATACCTCAGTAACACATCAACCAAATTATTTTTTCGTTATTGAGCTTGAAGTCACATATAAGGCTTCTCCGGTCCGGGGTACGATAATGACGGGGCAATACCGGAAGATTAGACAACCTTTCAAATTTCTCAATGGAGCAGGGAATAAGAGGCTGGGCTGAGGCTGCCGTAGTGGACAAATGTACGATGCATTCAATGAAGAATACGACCCATGGATGAGGTGAGCAGGTGCAAGGAGTGGACATTGATCAGGCTAAAGGACAGATAGATTTGAAGAATAACAAGGTGTCAAAGGCTCGGGCGCATGGCGCTCAAGGCCGCGGAGTATTTTCGCCTCTGCGCATAAACAGCGGGCCTCCTGGACGATCTGACTTGGCGCAATACCGAACATTGATGACAAATGTGGTGTGGAGTCTATTTTATCCATGTCAGTTTAATCTGTATATAGCTAACTAATCGTGGCCAATGACTTGTGCTCTGTTCACCAGCAAAATGATAGCTTAACTTCAGAGGAGCACATGGTCTGTTCAGTGAGACGAGGCTTATGTATTTGTTGGTAGTGAATCTGATCAGCTTAGCCCCACCCGTTAAATAATGTTGCGGGGTGCAAGGGGTGCTATTGGCCTTGCCCTTTAAACTACAAATATCATTCCATTACTCCAAAAGAACTGTGGCATTCATTAATTTTTTACCAAGAATTTGTGATGTGCTTTCAAACAAAGTTTTTTACTATTCTTGCAGCTAGAAAAACGATAAAATAGAATTTAGCATCAAAGACAAACATTACAAAGGAAAAAGCAAAGAGAGCGTTGAGCAGAGCCGTATTTACACAAAAACAAGATTCCTTCGCAATAGAAGTGCTTAATGTGCTTGTCAGACCTAATCGAAAATTTTATGATGTGGATCTATCCTCCAAGGCATGGGCGCCTACTATTCCTAGTCATGCTGTAAGATAACCAATCTACTGGGCCTGACTCGCAGAATATAAATGCATTGACTCCTGGGTGGAACTTTCATAAACATATAGACTTTAGAAAGAATGAAAATTCAATCTTCTCTAACAAGCCTCTCTTTCCTTCCAATCGTTGAACCTTTCCTCCAAGGGCACACTCACTCAAGAACATTTTGATACTTCGCGCACATGTCTTACTAGATATCGAAAGAATTCTTTTAAAACAAGTTCTTTCGTTTATTCAGCAGAAAAACTAGAAAAACTACCAATATAGCCAGAATATCTAGTCGCCTCGGTCCCATGGCATGCGTTGTTGCACTCCTCCTTGCGTCAGCGAAAATACAGACGTCGAATCGCATGGTACTGGTGACTGATAAGCAATCAGACTACAGCTATACAGTCATAACTCACATCAATACACTTTTACCAGCACCTGAAAAAATATATATGAGCTCATTGCCGATCAAATATTCCAGCACGACCAGCGCTGTTTATTGCTCAACAGTGTTGAATAGTGAAGATATAGTTAGAAGTATCAGTAACAGTGCAAAAGATTCAAAAGAGGTCAAAGATCAAGAAAATAACGACGATGAACTAGAATCCAACGGAATGAAGTGTTTCGAAAATATCAAAGCCATTGCAAAGAGAAAGTGGATTAGACCAGTCTACTCGTCAGAACTAGATAAATCACTTTGCCAAACAAAAACTCTCATCGATCTATTCTATAAGGGTGTAGTATTACCTCCTAAAAAATACAAAAAATTTTTCCCGGAAAATGGTAAAGGTGCGACTAGGCGCATTGTTATTAATGAGAAGATACATATTGGTGAATTAGTACAGGATGGCAAAATTTATCAGCACTCAGAATGGAATACAAATTTATCAGTACTTGCCTGGTACCGGGGTAATCTGCATATCTTTAAAATTGGAAAACATGGCTGGTATCCTCTTACCAAAATAGGGAACGAGGCACTAAACGGACCGATGATCTATCTATTTATGCTTGGAACTGATAAAGGACCATGGAACTCCAAAAAATTTCGATTTGATGAAGTCTTGAGTGGTTTGAAAGTTTTGGCTGAAGGCACACAGGTAAATAGTTTCCACAATCATTTGATGTTCCCTTATATTCCACTATCGCCACAAGTCAAGATGAATTTGGCAAAACTCAACGCTATTTCTCCTGTGGGCACAATTAGCACTAGGTAATAGAAAAGGCCAGATAGCTAGACGACTGAAATGAATAGATAATAAGTACGAAAATTTATTTCCACACGTACGTTGTGACTTTTTTTTAATTCTTAACGTCGTGCCGGCGTACAACACTAGATTACAGGAACAAGTGCCGGTTAGCTTAGTATAGAAAACTAACCGAAGTGCCAGCGCCCAAAAAGAGTCCATCAATTTCAAAATAAGGCCCAGCCACTCCTCAGCACTTCAGAAAAATTTAAGAATCTTGAAGGATTGACTACCTCTGCCAACCCTCTATGTGATAACCTCCAAATCTTGAGTCTTCCATTCCAGCTATTTCCGGAAAATTCATGGCCCAGCATCTCTCCCATCTTCACTTGCAGGCTTTGATTTCGTCATAGAACAATCATACTCAGTAACCCAAGTTTAGCGTCCTCCAACAATTCCCCTTCATCAATAGTGTTGGAAGACAGGGTCACGGGTCGTGTTGTGACTTTTTTCGGCGTTAAATAGTGACTTCAAAAATTGTTTGGTGTTTCGAGGGGGGTGGCGATAACCAACTTGAATGGATTTCATAATTTTCTTGGTAATTTATGTATTGGGGAGTCCTTCATAGTCTTAGACTCAGTAGGGACTTAAATTTAATTCTATTCTATTCTATGTAGGGGGGAAATCACTGTAATCTGGGAGTTCCGACCAAAACCAGCCTAGCTTAACTCCATCTAACAAGACTCTCAGTCAGGTGAAAAATCGATTCGACCGTTGGGGGATAGCTGAATCTTGGCTCTGAGAGAATATATCATTCCCAAGTTCGTAGAGGATACCACTGATAGCTGTTCAGCCTTCGTCCTCTATATCGTTACGGTTTTTATATCTGTATCCTAAGGTTGGGACTATACGCTCACTGGTAATGGCTGTTGAGACGCAAGTGTTGGAATAACTCAGCTAGGTAAGTGTGCACACAACTGTAGATTGATTAAATTACAGGTTAGATTCGTTGTTCGGATTTATTCCTTCTGTCTCATCTATCTAACTAAAGAACACATCTTCTACGATGGAAGTTCTGTCGTCCTATGCCAGCCAAATATATGTCTAATTACACCGTCCACGTGACGTTCTTACAGGTGCGGCTATGATCATAGCTAATGTTCCAAACAGTAAGGGAAAAAGTGGCATAGTGGTTCGGCATGTTAGCTTAGATATGGTAATGATTATAAACATGGCAAATAGAATGATACAAGACAAGAAATACAAGCAGACGATTCTTTCCACTGACCAGCAAAGCTATTAAGCTCATTCTAATTAATTTGATATATTGGTGTTTTTTAAGGAAATAATGTCTCCTCAGTCTTTTTTTTTGAATCATTTAATGTGTATTAAGCTATCTAGCTATGCCACATGACCGGTGCTATGTATTCATGTGGGATGACTCTTTTGACATTAGAGACACTCATACTCTGGATTTCATTTGCAAATACCACTGAGGTATGTTTGCTTACGCAAACAGTCAACCCTCCTCCGTAAGTACCCACCAAAGGGAATTTTAAAACCTTTGGTTATCCAAGCATGCCTTCGTCATCCATGCATACCAGCGCCGCGAGAAAAGTGGCTGTGATTTGCCGGATTTGAACCAGCGATCTACTGTCTCGAGTGGAATATGTGTCCAAGCTATCCAGACTCTACTTGGCAGACCGGCCAAGACGATGTACCACCGCACCATACAACCATGGCAGTTTTTATAGTGTCGCCCGCACTTTCGCAACCGAAGAATTGGCACGCACAAAGCTCAATTTGTAAAAACTCCTTGCCAAGGTTTAAAGTTCCACGCCCGTCGAGAATTTATCCATCCTCTGCATCATCTTATCAACTTGTCCTGATCCCTCTCACATCCATCCCAAAGAACTATCTCCCAGATTTGTGCGCCACGCTTTGTATCTTCTGTCGGGTGTAAATATCGGCGTGGGCGTGTATTTGGTGACCTGCTGAGGCCAGAGAAAGTCGTCGAGAGGTGTGACCATTGGAATGAGGATATAATAGGACGTACTTGTAGACTTGATGAAGCTTAGGTAGGAATCGGACTCTCGAGGAGTGAAGATTTGATGTGAAGTATTTTGAATCACTACCTCGTGGGCTAACTTGTTCGGTATTGCGAAATTTGACTGAACTTAGCTCTGGGAGAATATTTCACTCCCAGGTTCGTAGGGGACACCGCTGACAGGTGTTGAGAATAGTCCCCCAAAACAGTGCATTGAGTGGTTCTTAGCTGAGTACGGCCATCGATTAGGCCAGTCCACACTCTCCGAGTCCTGGAGCTAGACCTTTGCGAAACTCAACGAAGCTCCAAATACTGCTGCGCTACGACAGCGAGCTGGAAACTGGCCTGACCTTGAGAGTGTTAGAGCGATTAGAGACGGCAATTGGGAGTACAAAGGAGGCATCAGAAGTACAAAGTAGCCTAGATAGCTGGATTAGATAATCATATCCTTTTCAGCGATATCCTCTGTAAGACGATATTTTTCAAGGTCCCGATTGCATTATCTTAACAGGGGTTTGACTGTACAGAGCAATTATTTTTGAAATCGATGTGTATTTTTAGATAATATCAATTGATTTTTTTAATTTTTAATTTTAAATGAGGACCATTGTACAATTCCCTTGGTATTGAAAACCATCTCCATTAATTCTGACTTTCACGGATTATCGTTGGATAGTACCCCTGCTTGCATAACTAGTCGATAAACCAAACATGGGCCTGCATGAAGACTAAACCAATCTAATCGATTTGCACAGGGATCTAACCGCAGTCATTTTGACAATTGTACCTTTGACATCCTTAAGAGACTGTATGGTGAACAGAAAAGAATTGCCATACTGTTAGAATTACTACCGGGTGGCTTCACGATCGATCGTAATGACTCAGTAGAGAGTTGTACGATTCTGGGTTGGTGCAATTGTTCATAATTGTCTCGTCTATGCTGTACAGGATTCACAGCTTTACTGTGGACTCTGACTAGCGCATCTGTGCTGAGGTCATCATGTGATCCCCACATGATGACAAATCAACTTACGTTTTAGATTAACCGACATATACAAAAATTGATTAACAATTTGCACAATTACGGGGGCTAACCCCAATGTGGAAGGTGATTATGCCTAAGGAGTCCCAGGTTTTACGCTAAATACCCTGCCGAAGCCCTACTGCAAACTTGGCACCGTGACAGCATAGTATACCCCATTAGAGCAGCAGTCCCACATGAATTAAGACTCCAACTTTATATATTATGACTTGTATTCCTCCTTGTAGCTGTCAACAGCGTCGTAACTTTACAGTGGGCGATGGTCGTTGACGAATGAGACAGATGCCCAATTGCAATCAGAGTAACGCCTTTATCGGTCGTTGAGGCGAGATAATGTCTGGTTAGAAATAGATTGAGGACTCAGATAAGAGTGGTGAGCGCGGCATTATTGAGAAGTCGTTAAATGGAGATGTGCTTGTATATGTGTTCGTCTTCGATTCGGATGCGATTCTTCTTGGCTAGCCCAGATGTGCAGTGCACACAGAGTGATTCCACCGGCACCACTGGAAGGTGAATAATTCGTCTCTGCTGGCTAACTGCTCCTGTAATTTCTAAAAGATGGCCGAATTCCAAGGGTAAACACTGAGCTGAATGGCTATTCATCACCGGCAATATATCAATGATCTTACAAGTAACAAAAGAGGCAAGGAGCACTGTACATGGTGTGGCCTGGGTCAGAGAGGAGCCCGATGTGCTAGATAGTCTGTGACTCAGGCAGTACAATAAACAACACACACACACACTCCTGTAATTTCTGTTGGATGCAAGGCCCGTCCCCCACACGTTTTGAGTATCAATTCGGATCAAATTATATTTTCGTTCACAATCGGCGCAGTGATGCTAGATTCTTGAAAGCGAAATTTCATCAAGTGTCAAGGACCAAGTTATTTTACTCTTTCGTAGTTTCGAGATGGTTCCGCTGCAAGATACCTGGCGTTCTCGGTCTAAACCATCGTAAGTGAATCAGTGTAGCAAGTCTGACTCGTGATACAAATGTTAAAGATTAGGATCTTTCATGACTTGAACATCCCTTCAATCAACTCAAGACTATATTTTCCCCAACCTTCGAGATGTCCTCTATTTGCACACAAAATACCATCTCATTACTGCACGCAAAATCCTGACTGGGAAAACTCCGCTTTTGGCTCTGCGGCTCGTAGATGAAATCTCAAAGTTAAGCCGAAGCTTTCGGCTACTCTGCCATCATGGCCTGTATCGTTGCCTTTCTTCTCACAGCGTCAACGAACTTTCAACCTTCGAATCACTTGATTACTGTGACCAGTGACATATCATACTATAGTTACAGAGTCTTTCCTCACCAAGGTAATGAATTTCCGCAGGCTGACGGTATACTAATGAGCACATCGTCGATCGACGACACCAGGACTTCCACTGCCGTGTATTGCTCACTTTTGTTAGGGAGTCAAGGAATCATTACTATGATTACAAAACTTCCTATGCTTCAAACCGACTTAGTTTATAAGTACATCAGTCCGGAGCCCGAGCAGCTTCAAACATGCTGGGAAAATATTAAAGATACTGTGAAAAGTCTAGGAGGAGCTCGCGTAAAATACTCGGACCTTGAGCATACGATATGCACTCCCAAGACTATTTCCTACCTAGCCTACACTGACTCTGTTTCAGTCATCGGAGATTATCGACATTTCTTTCCGAGGAGAGAATACAGAGCACAAAGACCCATTGTTGTTTCCGAGAGATTCTCACTGGATCAGCTAATCGAAAAAGACCACATTTTCCGGCGTACTGACTGGGATGACACCTCGGTAGCACTTGCTTGGTACCAGGGATATTTGCATCTGTTTGAAGCCAGGCTCAATGGCTGGTATCCCCTCACCAAAATAGGACAGGAGTCGCAGAACGGAAGGATGATTTTTATGTACATGCTTGGCACTGACCTGGGAATTTGGAATTCCAATGGTCGTCTATCCACCAGAATAAACGACCAGTTGAAAAAATTGAAAGATGAGAGTGAATTTAAACATTTTTATAACCGCCTATGGGATACTGATTATCCACATACACTGGGCAAACAGTTGGATCTAGCAAAGCTTCAACCAATTGTTCCTATGGGCAAAATAGGTCGTGATATCTGAGCGATTGATATGACTTCAACACACTGGATAGAGCAAGTCTAGCTCGTGAATCATACATAAATCTCCTGTTTATGTTGCCTCTGGTAATATAGATCACAAGCTGTTGTAAAGGTAAGAGCTTACGGAGGTTAATTGGCAGAAGGTTTACGGATAATTATCGATGGATCAATGTGAACTGCTGATATGTTTGATATTCAGAACTATGAGGATTTAGGAGGTAGAAAGCGCTAATTATATACACATCTGAGGTAGCCAGACTCTCGCCCTATTTACCCAAAACAGTACCACGGAATATTCTAGTCTCCTCCATCTGGCAGTACAATCTAGAGACACCTTCTATACAGTGCTCCATTGTTCCTCTTCTCATCATGGAGCCACCTGGAAAGTTCTTCCTTCACCCTCAGTGATCACTACCCTTGTGCATCGTGATCCTAGCCATCACCAGCACAACACAAGCAAGGTTTCTCGAGATAAGTGTTTGTCTCGTCACTCAATTTCCTTCTCAATATCCATGTTATTTTGAGTGGTATGTGAACCTAACGATTGTGGTGTGATGGAAGCAGATAGGAAACTAGCTTTTCAAGAGTTAGCCCTATGGTATAAAATATCTCGTCGATGGACAAGAAAGATATAACTTAATAGAAATGATATCGTTTGCGACTAATGGCGACGGCTTTCACCGCAGGAGAAGAGGTGAAGATCGTGCCCCCTGATAGTGTCAGAGTACTGGCAGTTTAAGAGTCACGCTGATGAATATCAAGATTTAGAGAAGAGCCCAGCATTTTTTGTCCGACGTATTACTCAATATTTATTCATCTGTGAAGCAACAGATAAGACGGACTATTAACAAGGAAAAATTCGGAATTCTCTAGAAACTTTACTACTCATTGAACATGTGGAGTTACAGAGTGAGTCGTACCAAATTTAATGGCAGTTTTTTATGGATGTAACCGTTGGATCTTTCATAAAGTCTGCATCAGGAAAAATTAAATCTATCCCGTGAGGCTCGAAATAACTAGCCCGTTCTACTGGCTTGTGCTTGTGTGGGTTTATTGTGCTACTTGATTCAAAGACTATCTAGCGCATTGGGCTCCTTTCTGGCCCAGGCCACAACTTGTACAGTGCCCCTTGCCTATTTTGTTACGTGTAAGATCATTGATACATTGCCCGTGATGAGTTGCCATTCAGCTCAGTATTTACCCGTGAAATTCGGCCACCTTTTCCACGAAAACTTCTACCCAAAAATAAATAAAAATGGTAGAAATGGAAACTGTATGCGCGGGAAAAAGTCTCAAAAACCCCTACAGTCCCAGCCAGGCGAGGCCTAGACACCGGGACCACACGAGGTGCGCATATTCATCTATGTCTCCCTTCTTTGTAACATTCGAGGCTGACTTGATCCAATCCACCATCTCCGTATTAGGTGCTAGGTACGCTCCGAAAACTCATCGGAAGGCTTCTCCATGATAATGGTGGCAAGGGGTTATGCTGAGAGATGAAGAAGTTATAGAACGCGAAAGCGATTGGGAATACCATCGAAGTGAGGTCTTTTGCTCAAACTCGGCTCTGCAGACTCTACAGTGAGAGCTGAAAGTTCATAGGGGACACCACTGACAAGTATTGAGAATAGTCCCTCTTGTTTCGTTAGTTTGGAGGTAGCATTGAAAGTAAAGAGACTATATTAAGTGCATTGTTGAATCAAAACTATAGGTGAGTTAAGTAATAGTTTAAAATTCCTACGGTACAAGTTACTTTGGTCTGTAGGCTCGTCTAAAATAAAATAAATCTAATATTATCTAACGTGATCCGAAGCCGGCAAAGACTAATTCTTTACCTTCCAGTGGTGCAGGTGTAATCGCCCAGTATACTCTGCATAATCGGGATAGCCAAGAAGAATCATCTCCGAATTGAAGTCGAAATCAAATACAATCATTTCTCCATTTGGCGACTTCTCAATAATATTGCTCTTGTTAGAAGTTAAAATAATCGGGGCTAACAAATGGGCCACTTTGCCACACGTGACTAAAATAACACTGTACTTAGTTTCACTTCGGTAGCCACTTGAATCAATGCGCTCTATAGCCTCAATAACTGAGGAGTCATTATTTCCTCAATAGATCTGTTGGAAATGGAGACACAGAGTGTTGTGGACGTACGGGCCTTCCGTTCCATCTAGATTCCCGACACGATCTTGGGTGTATTTAAGAGGTTGGAATGGGTAATATGGTTGCGCTTCAGGCTACCTGTTGGATACATGAGCGGCCGAATGGCATGGGCACAAGGAGGTTATGGGGGGTTTTCTATGCCTAGACGACGCCACACTCTTTTTTTTCTTTTTTTTTGCATCAGATTTTAATTGGGTATGCAGCTATCCAGCTTTGACACAACATCGGAGAAGTGTATAATAGATGACTCAACTTACAAGAAGAGCGCTCATGCCTCAGATTTCATTTTCAAGTAGAAAAGGGGTATCTGTAGTAAAGAAGCATGAAGTTTTATTGTGGTGCTTTTTAAAATTAAGTACACGGTGTCACGTGATATGTAGAATCCGCTACAGTATCTTCGCCTTAGGAGCCCGGAGAGGGCCTTTAAAGCTTTCCTACTTATCGTATCTGCTTGGCACATAGCCATATAGTGGAAGGTGGTCGCTCGTCATACATTCGCCTCGTTCCACCCATTTCTGACCACCATTCACATTTGGCCAAGCCAAGTCCGGAGTGTTGCTCGCCCTCTGTGTGGGTTCACCAATTACAAGATGGGTCACGCTGTGTTCCTCCGCCCAACTCTCAATCTCCTCTCCACGTCAATAAGAGCGCGTCGCATCAGGCTACCAGGCCCGGTGAATCGAATTGGAGTCTCTAGCTGCGAATGACCACGGTTGGGGCTTCCAGTCAATGAGTGGACGTGTGGCCGAATTGCCGTTGTGTGCTTTGTAGATATTGAGAAACGTCGCTCCGTCCACAGTAACCCAACAGTAGTCTCCTATCTATTACGAGACTGGAAATATCTGAGTAGCAAAGATTTCCTTCTCATTTATTCTTGTGTACGCGACGGCTCTAGGCCCGACGTATATCTCACTGTGTAGAATATGACTGTGGTATCCAGAGTGTGATTTTGTCTGGCTGAACCACCAGGGCTCTTGTACGAGCACAACATCTATACTTCTCTCATGTGCACGAGATGGCGCGATATCGCGTGTAGCGTCATGAATGCGCTTTTCACGTTAGTAGTAAATTGTCATCCACGTAGTATAGCATGCAGAGCCAGGGAAATGGAAACAGGTTAGTGATAAATTAGATACCATCGATCGCTACACTCACCCGTAGATTACTCCTAAAAGAGACTAGCTACGGCGCTATCTGAAAGTATGTGGGATTGATTAATTATCATGTAGATAACCTGTAACATAATATAACATAATATCACAATAAGATACCACCTGCATCTCGTAACATTTATTGCCATAATCACACTAGTATATTCCAAGCCCCCTGAGTAGTCACAACCATTTAATTAAAGATACCAAGTGTACACGACCATATATATATCACCACCCTTCAATATGTAGGACCCCCTTTGCCAACGCTTATTGACATATACCTGGGCTTAGATAGAGAGGGGATTCGGTCCCGAGGGACTGTCTCCCAGATTTGTGCGCCACGCTTTGATTCCTCCGTCGGGTGTAAATATTGGCGTGGGCGTGTAGTTGGCGACCAGCTGGGGCCAGAGAATAGTTGACGAGAGTTGTGGTCATTGGAATGAGGATGTACTAAGTCGTACTTGTAGAGTTGATGAGGCTTAGGTAGGAATCGATTTCGTTGGGAGTGAAAGATTGACATGGTGGAGTAGTTTGAATCATTGTCTCGTGGGCCAACTTGTTCAGTTTTGCGAAATTTGACTGAACTTGGCTTTGGGATAATATTCACTCCCAGGTCCGTAGAGGACACCGAGTACAGGTGTTCAGTCTTACTCTCCTGTCTATGACTCAAGTAGCGCAATAAAATTCAACCCAAAAAATCATCCGATATAGAGATAAAGCGCAGTCCCACAATTTTTCCCGCAAGGGAGCGAATGGGACAGATGACTTCCGAGATGAATGTCAGCTCTCCCGGAATACTTTCCTCATCAGACGCCAAGGCCACCGGGATATCCCTAAACGCGTCTCACCAAGCTACATAATGAGCAAGATGAATGGAGCCGTATGACTACATGTATGTTTCATGACATAATGACTCAATGATGAATAATCGTGTTGATGAGTAATGATTTAGCTGTTTAGGAATGGCGTTAGGAGAGAGGGATAAAAGAATGAATTTGTTGAATTAAATAACTGCTAGTCAAACATAATTATTCTTGCACCTTAACATAATGGAGTTATGGATGTGATTAATGTTTACTTGGGAGCATAATGGGTTAGGCGTTTGGAGATCTTATATATCCCGTGTTAGCAGTTCCATATTAGCGTGCAGTGAGAGTTAGGTCGTAGCATTAGGAGAGAGTGCTGAGAAGCAGTCGCAATACACGTTCCGCATTGTTAACCCAATACTTTATCAAATCTACTACCAGTAGTCCTGTATCAGTTGACTAAAAGAATCATATTCTCATAAAATTATTCAAATGTGCTGATTTGGTGCCTTAAGGATTATGCAGGTTATATCGGAAGATATGTACTTTAAGTAGGATGATTCAATTTGACATTTTGAACACTCACACTCAGATTTCATTTGCAGATACCACTCGAGGTTAACCCTTACGGCGAATAACTTCTTCCGTGAATACCCAACACAGGGAAAAGCGGGAAAACCCTGTGGCTATCCGAGTGTGCTTTTATCATCCTACCGGGACAATATCACATCGAGAGAGAATGGTGTGTGGGTTTTACTGGATTCGAACCAGCTTTCCTCTGTCTTAAATGGGTAAGTGTTCAAGCTACAGTCAAACCCCTGTTAAGACGATGTAATCAGGGCCGTGAAAAATATCGTCATATAGAGGATATCGTTGAAAAGGATATGATTATCTAATCCAGCTATCTAGGCTACTTTGTACTTCTGATGCCTCCTTTATACTCCCAATTGCCGTCTCTAATCGCTATAACACTCTGAAGGCCAGGCCAGTTTCCAGCTCGCTATCGTAGCGCAGTAGTACTTGGAGCTTCGTTGAGTTTCGCAAAGGTCTTGCTCAAGGACTCTGAGACTGTGGACTGGCTTAATCGATGGCCGTACTCACCTAAGAACCACTCAATGCACTGTTTTTGTGTTGGTTTTGGGACCTGGCGGTGCGCCCATCGTCGCAGAGCACGTCGTTGCTCCACAGAAATTCCCTTTTTTGGCGGCATTGATAGCACCAAGCTAGCAAAAAACCCTGGTTAAGACGATATTCAGAGGTTGAAGAATGATAATCGAGTAATCGGTAAATGTATGGGGACGAAGTCCGTTCTGGAAAAAACATCGTCTTAACCAGGGTCGTCTTGACAGGGGTCTGACTGCACTAGTATCAACTTTGAAGAACGGCTCGAATGGAGTACCACTGCACCATCCAACCCAGGAGAGAGGGATAACTGCTGTATGTACGAGTTTCCTTGGGTTAGATTGACAAGAATCAAGATACATGTTAAACACCAATTGTTATTATTGCTGAAGAAAGCGTGTGATATGTATACCCCCCGAGTATTCCCACAATAAACGGGTAAGATGTAGGAGTATAACAAATGATCGCACAACCTCCAATCATTTCAACAACGAATACTTTACAAGCTTCCTCGGACGAACTCGACACTCGCTTCATTGACAACGATGGCCTTCCTCATCCTTTAAAACCAAAATTACTATAGCATCAAAGTTCCCTTGCTGCTGTTTATTCGTACCTTCAGCCGTCAGGGGAATTACAACAAGAAACAATACAATCCTTCTTCAATCGGCACAGCTATTTGGTCGTTTGTTGAAGCGAGGTTGTATAAAGTATGATTAGTTGGACATTTCATAAGAAAATGGTTGGAGTGACTTTGATTAGAAGTAGCTGATGATAGAAATATTAGCATTTGATTTCGACTAAGTGTTAGATACGATCTTCTTAGCTATCCCAGATATATAGAGCATGCGAAGTGTTTACATCGAAACCGCTGGAAAGTGAAGATGTCGTCTTTTCCAACTAGACATGGACATAGTCAAGTGCATTTACTCTATCTGTAAATTATTCTTAGTCAATGTGTATCTACTTACCCTCAAATAATCCTAATGAATTTGCTCACCGAGTAGATAATTACTTCCTTGTTCTTTTACATATTTTATCCCAACACAGGTCTCGGCCGTATAACCTTATTACTATAATATCATGAGCATACTCATTTGTGTTTTGAGATTTGACTGAAACTAATTCTCTGTAATCAATTTATTCCCAGTAAAGCAGAGGACACGTCGACAGTTGTCCATTGGTCCTGTAATCGTGATGTCGCCGGAGTGTATGATTTCATCTTATCAGAGTGACCATATCTTTTGACATTTCAAAGCCCGAAAGGAATTGGAAGATTCAGGATATAATCATAGATTTTGAGATTGCATCGGATTTTTCATGGAATGACGAGGCAAAACATGATCTCTCATTCTAGTCCCGATTTGGTAATGGTCCTGGCAGAAGGAAATTATATTCAATTCGAAGGATTCGGATATTATAGTCCAGGATCGGCCGAAGTCGGTCTCTCTAGTAAAGCCCTTGGTGTTCTTCCTGACAGCATCATAGCACGACCGGCATGCTTAGTCTGACTCGTGAATTGTGCAAGAAATGGATATTTAGAGACTGGGGGATACGAGGTACCTATATAATGATGAAGATCTGTGACGACCAGAGTATTCCTTCAGCCAACAACAAACTCCATTTTTCCCACTCCTCAAAATGTCCCTCATTTGCATGCACAAAACCATCTCATTACTGCACGCAAAATCCTGACTGGGAAAACTCCGCTTTTGGCTCTGCGGCTCGTAGATGAAATCTCAAAGTTAAGCCGAAGCTTTCGGCTACTCTGCCATCATGGCCTGTATCGTTGCCTTTCTTCTCACAGCGTCAACGAACTTTCAACCTTCGAATCACTTGATTACTGTGACCAGTGACATATCATACTATAGTTACAGAGTCTTTCCTCACCAAGGTAATGAATTTCCGCAGGCTGACGGTATACTAATGAGCACATCGTCGATCGACGACACCAGGACTTCCACTGCCGTGTATTGCTCACTTTTGTTAGGGAGTCAAGGAATCATTACTATGATTACAAAACTTCCTATGCTTCAAACCGACTTAGTTTATAAGTACATCAGTCCGGAGCCCGAGCAGCTTCAAACATGCTGGGAAAATATTAAAGATACTGTGAAAAGTCTAGGAGGAGCTCGCGAAAAATACTCGGACCTTGAGCATACGATATGCACTCCCAAGACTATTTCCTACCTAGCCTACACTGGCTCTATTTCAGTAATTGGAAATTACCAGCATTTCTATCCGAGGAGAGAACATAGAGCTCAAACGCCCATTATTATTGACGAGAAATTCTCATTGAGCCAACTAGCCGACAATGGCCAAATTTTCCGGCGCACTGACTGGGATGACACCTCGGTAGCACTTGCTTGGTACCAGGGATATTTACACCTATTTAAATCTGGGCCCAATGGCTGGTATCCCCTCACTAAAATAGGGCACGAGGAGGAGAACGGACCGTTCATCTTAATGTACATGCTTGGGATAAATCCGAATGTTTGGGATTCTGACCATCATCTATCCCTCAGAATTAACAATAAGTTGAGTGAATTAAAAGATGCTAGGGAATTTAAACATTATTATCATCGTCAATGGGATACTGCCTATCCACATAAATTGGGCAAACAATTGAACCTGGCAAAGCTTCAAGCTTCAGTTCCCAGAGGCACAATAAGTAGCACTGCCTGAAAGATTGGTATGACTGCGAAGCAATGGGGAGTTCAAGATCTATTCCTACATCATAAACAAATTATTCATTATCCTGATTTGGCGCGGTATGGGCCCAAGCAGGTGGCTAAATGTCAGGTGACTGGGAGCCTGACCTGTGACAGGCGAAGTATATGTAATTAAAGTAAAAGATAACTCAGTAAAAACAACTCGATTCCTGTTTCTCCCAGAATTCTAGGCCTATTTACACTGATTATGATTGACTTGATCTCTAAATATAGACATGCGCTAGGAATAGAATAACCTGCGGTTCTAAATACAGAATACAAGCACTGAGCGAAGCAAACAACCCACGTACGTATGGACAGTCCCTATTTTTGAGCCGAGACATTTTCATATCCAACTTCTTCAGTAGTTATTCTTAGCCTTTGACACTATAAACCTATCTATATATTTACATAGGAGGAAACCTCTCGGTGAAAATCCCCGAAGCTTTCTGATTTAATTCTAAGAGTTTGCAATTTATCCTTCAGGAAGTACAGTTACACTGTAACGCCGTCGATATATACCAAGCACGTCCCTTCTATCGACCCCAACCTTGTACATGTTCCGTCTCGTTCCCTGAGCAGCATTTCGGCTTTATTGGTCATGCGGAATTGTTCTATCCAACCGTCATTAGGAATCCATCGTGTGAGTCTTTTCATGTCGCTAGGATTGTTGATCGTTGCTTCAAAGGAGCGATTTCGGGCTTGTCTCCAGATTTCTCCTCTACCAATTGACCACTTAGGGCAGGACATGATCATGTGCTTGGGACTTTATGATTGGTAGCCATACGGACAACTTGGGTGACAAACTCCTGGTACTTTTCTTCTGTGTAAATAAGAATTGAGCCCGATATGCTCGCTTCGAATTTGGATTGCTGAGCTACTTTGGGCCCTCGTCAGGTTTTCGTGGAGAAAAAATGGTAAGTCCCGGATGCTTATTGAAGTACGTCCAGAATGGCGGCACTGGTAGAACTTTGCTGCTGCCCAAATTTTAGAAGTGGGTGGTGATGATGATGAAAATTTATTCGTGACGGGCACAAGCCCTACACTCCAAGAGCATGACACGAAGACTAGCTTCTCCGGCGACTATATACGACGATAACTCAGTTTGACATTTGGACTACTCATGTAGTGGGTGCATTCGCTGATACCACTCGAGACCTTGGTGCTAGAGATTTTCGCCCTTCCCTCAACCTTTAATATCGACCAAAAGGAAAACAGGAAAAGCCTTTGGCTACCCTAACATGCCTCTGCCATCCTGTATGTAGGCGCCGCGCGAGATATGGCTACCCAGACTTTAATTCGGGGAGATGACGATCAGGAGGTGGACCAAAACACCTTCCATCGTTGCCTGTTTTTAGAGTGTCGGTAGCACTTGTTGTGGTTATGAGCTATGCGGAAGTCACATTGCGGAGTGATGAGGAGTGGATGATGTTATAATTTGTGGTTGACAGTGAGTAGCCTCATACAATACTATGCTGTAGGTATGTGGACAGAAAGTATAAGAATAGACCTGTGTCCATTTATTGTGGGTACATCTATGAAACTATATACATGCTCGCCTAACCAGTACACTAGTGATGTATGCTGTGGCCTTGAGCCACACGCGATGCCCTAGCCTCGACTACCTCGTTGTCTCATATCATAACAGCACTATCCCAAATTGTTGCCTCGGCGCCCACAGACACCCTTAAGTCGAAAACACTCGAAAAATATGCGTCCCAGCTGCCTGTCCTCCCTCAATATGTGAAGCCCCATTAGAGCGACGGTCCCCCATAGACCAAGGCCCGAGCTTTGTAGATTATGACTTCAATTCCTCCTCGCGGGTATACATAGCATCGTAAATGTGTAGCGGGAGATGGCCGGTTTTTGATGAGGCAAATGCCCGATTGCAATTGGAGTAACGCCATTATCGGTATTTGAGGCGAGGTGGTGTAAAAGATTGAGGTGGAGGACTCGCGTGAGAAAGATAGGTCGGACATTGACGATAAGTCGTCGATTTAAGATATGCTTGTGAGTGCTTTCGACTTCGATTTGGATGCGATTCTTCTTGGCTATCCCAGATATGCAGAGCATACTGAGCGATTACACCGGCACCACTGGAAGGTGAATAATTTTTCTTTGCCGGCTTTTAGTAGTTTATTTTTTTATTTTTACGTCGTGCCAACGCGCAACACGTTTCCTGAGGTCACATGCCGGTCAGCTCCGTCTAGAAAAACTACCCGAAGTGCCGACGCTCCTAAGATCCCGGCATAAACTACCTGGGCCCTGGTCCTCCTGCCAGTTGCCCCAAACTAAAAATACACCAAAAGAACCCTTCCCCTGGGTCTTCTGTTGACTTTACTGCAGACAGAATTAAAATGTAAATCTACATGCTAGAGAGGAGATAAAATATACCACCGGTACAGACAGAGCTACTAGTACGTGTTTGACTCCCGCGAAATAGTTAGTATGGAGCGAGTGTAAAAGCTAGGAGTGAAAATTTGTCTCTTCAAAAAACTTAGTCTTGTGGACCCACTTGCTGAAGGCGATAGCCCCTTCTGGAGAGCTTAGAACCCAGGGGATTCCAGGGTTGGGATGTCGAGGTCCACCTTGCAGTCGTGATCGGCTGTGCCCAGTCGACAAAAGAATAAGTGGTCAGGTGACTTTCTCGTCCGCAGCTACAGGTCAAGAGAGCTTCGAAGTGTTGGAAACGGTGGTGGAAGTCTGCAAAGTCCCCATGCCCTGACCGAGCAGCAAGTAGCAGGCCCAGTGTTCGCCGGTCGAGACTCCTAAGTTCCAGTGAGTCTCTGACATTTTCTCTCATTCCAAGTTGTTTGTATCTTTCGAGGGCGTTTTGAGCGCAATATCTGGTCGCCGAATCTTGGTATCTAATTTTAATATCTCTCTTTGCTGTAGTGATTGAGGGTACAAGTGAGGAGGCTGGGAGTGTGCAGGCCTGTTTGGCGAGATCGTCTGCAGCTTCGTTTCCCCAAATACTAACATGTACAGGGCACTATTTAATGATGACTGAGCCGACTTCTGTGAAGTGGCCCGTAATTGTCTGGTGATATCTAGCCGCTCATGGGTAGCGCGTGTGTTCACCAGACTCATCACGACGCTGCCCCATTCATTGCCCTGCAATGATTCAACCCGGCACCCATGAGTGCGAGGCTCAGGAACGAGAGTAGTTGTATCCATGGTCGGCACTCGACGTGCATATGCACCTAACGGCGCCGAGCCGGTCATTGACTGGCGATATCACAACAGAAACACCTCAAACTTCACCTATGCGTTGAATCACACCAAGCATGACCGTCCAGAAACCCGCACTATATGCAACCTCACGCAAATTCCTCCTCAGGATCGTCCACCACGCATCCAAGCCTTGACAATCTTATTAACTCCAAGGCATACATATCATGCTAAATCCCAGCATTGCCCTAGCCTTGCACCTCATCGTATCGTCGGGTGATTGTTGTCATGAGTAATCTAAACTACCACTAAAAATTGTAATTCTATCAGTGTACATTCCCTTATACATTCGTCTATTGTATATGTTCCGTCTCAACTATGACTTTCCTCTGTAGGATATATGTTGGTAGATGGTGCGATGAGTGACGAGATGTTTGGAGGTGGTGAGATTCTATCGACTTTCTTACACTCGTGAAATCTCTGTCGACTGACTTTCGACCCTAAGAGCGAGCACAACCACTTCAAGCCGACACTTCATCAAATATAACTTATGATATCCTTGTCCGTGACTGAATATCGACTCCGAGGAAATATTTAAACCCCAGATTCATGTCGGACACTGTTGATACGAATTCAGCCTTCCTCCTCCTACAATGGTGATGTGATGTGAACAAATGAGAAACTAGCATTACAAGTATTGTTTTTCAGATTAAAATAATTTATTGCTTGACGAGGGAGATGTATCTTGATGGAGATATTGTTGTGTGTCACTAATTGCGATATGGCTCCATGACAGGAGCCGAGTCGATGATCTCGCTCCCTGGTTATTTTTTTCTATTTATATTGTTGCCATTTCTTAGTCTAGGAATATCTAGAACATGCAGGACCTCTCCGCCTACAGGCCAAAGATACCTATACCAGTAGTATATCCCCTCCTATGCCTCCCATACAGCTCCCATCAAACAGTACTGCCACTCACAAGTCCTCATTCGATCATTTGCTAAGAAGTGCCCTTTGCCCTTTAATGTCCCCCCTCCCCAGCCAACGAAATGAAGGACATTAGCGTGTGCATGGCAGCCGAGAAATGTTGAAAAATCCACAGGGTCCAAACCTCTTCTAATAGCGACATTAGGACAAGATCCGAAGACAAACTGACACTTCTGAAGCGTTCTAAGAGGCCAGCCAGCTGGGAGCTGTAGATTTGTTGGTACCTCGAGAAAGTCACACTCTGCCTTTCCAGCCTTCTTTCAACCCTTTCCCAAAGTTCGTGTTAAAAATTCTTGACAGAGCGTGATTGCTGTATGGTAGCTTAGCCGAACTTCTTTTGTGCCGTGCAGGGCTGTGGAAAGCGCCATTGACTCATCGACAATTAAAGTCCTCCTGGCTGATTTTGTGAAATATTGGGCTTGGCGCCTAAAAAAGTTTCAAAGTTCCAAAGCTGAAAACCACTCGAAAATGTCAGTCTCAGCATAGTCTTGAGATACCTGTTCCCATTCTCGCCCTACATCTTAGCCGCCTGTTCTCCACAAGTTGTTTGTCCCATTAGAGAAACAGACCCCCATAAGCCGGGACACAAGTTTTCTATTCTCCTTCTTCTGAATTGAAGTTGTGTCGTAAATTTGTAGGAGCTGGCTAGTGATTAATGGAACAAACTCACGCGTTCAATTGAATCAACTCCTTTATCGGTCGTCGAGGCAAGGTGTTATATAGTAAGATTGAGGTAGAAGACTAGCGTGAGGATGACAAGACCGATACTGGTGATAAAATGTCGATCCTGGGTATGCTAGTGTCTGCTTTTGACTTTTACCAAGATGCGACTCTTCATGGCAACCCCACATATGCAGAGCATACTTAGCAATTACACCCGCACCATTGAAAGATGAAAAATTCGTCTTTTCTGGCGCAAATCAAAGGTCTCGATAGGTAGCGTATAGCATTTATCGAGGCGAAAGATGCAATACAGTCATAAAAAGTTGCCCCTGCAGCCTTGAGAATTCGATGCCGATCTTCTTGAAAAAGATGAATGAAATTCAGCGAGTGAAATTCGGCGTTTAAGTTTGAGTGACACAATCATGTTTCTTCTCCGTAAGTGCAAAGTCGTGGGGGACTCGCCTCATCTCACAATCACGGGACTCGAGGTTTTATGCTCGCAAACTTACTTCTGGGCTTTGTGGATGATAAGACTTTACTCGAAATTGAGTGAATTGACCACAATTCAATTCAACGATTAAAACTCGACGACAGTTTTTATTGGCAAAGGGTGAATCTGCTAGAAGATGCATAATGGTTAGTTACTTGATTCTTGATTCTCTGTCGAAGCATTCTACACATATTTATCCTATGTAGATGCCAAGGCCCTAGTGCGATCAATAGACGTGCATGGAGGCCTACACTTCGGACCAATCAGAGAGATCCACAAAGCTTTCTCCGATTTTGCCCAATCACAGTGCCTCTAGGAACAGAAAGGTTAATCTTGAAACTGGGCTGTTTAAGGGATTAGCCCTGTAGGCGCAGATGGGCTAGCTCGTAATAGGTTAGTATGTCTCTCCTCATTACCCCGCTCGCCATGAAGTATGGTCCAATCGTCTTGTTCCAACAATCGCTTAGAGAGACATTTCCAACGACATCTTTGACTGCACAACCCTTCATCATCAACACCACTATCAATTCATCCTATATTCCGGCAAACAATGTCTCTCGAGAAGTCTGCTTTAGAAAATAAAGCTCTCAGGCATCTAACTCGCGATCAATGTATTGAAATAAGAGCAATAAGAAGACTTGGCTTTACATTACAACACATATCCGACGAACTTGGTTTCACAAGAAGGCAAGTGCAGTTAGCGTGTGCTCGAGAGACTGCGAATCCTAAACCTCGCAAAGGATGCTCACCTAAATTAAATGCGGAACAAGTTGATGAGCTTGGGGCTTTCGTCCAGGAATCTCCTGAAAATCGACAGATGTGCTATTTGGAATTAGCGATGGGACCCTTCAGCCAGTGGAGGTGCAATGAGCTTTAAATTTTAAATGCTCTCAATAAAAGAGGTCACGGCAGATGCATTGCTCGGAAGAACCCTTCGTTAAGTGTGGTTAACATGCACTAAAGATGTGTAGCAGTGATATAGGCAAATTGAGGGTACACAAAGTATTAGCATGGAGCAGACTAACACAAAACGTGTAGAACAGTTTCATTTTAGTTGCAAGCCATACTGAGGGCTTCAATGTATACTTTTGCAATACAGAGCAATTATTATTGAAATAGATGTGTATTTCTAGGTAATCTCAATTGATTTTTTTAATTTTCAATTTTAAGTGAGGACCATTATACTTTTCATTTAGAGTTGAGAATCTTCCCCATAATTCAGACTTTCACAGAATATCATTGGATAGAATCCCTTGCTTGCATAACTAGTCGAGTGACTAGACATGGGCCTGCATGATGACCATACCAATTAAGGCAATATTTACAGGGATCTAAACCCAGTCATTTTGACAATTGTACTATTACAACCCTTAAGAGACTGTACATTGAGTGCTCTTCCCGGAGGTTATTACTCACTGCGCTAGAACTGCCTGAAGACCTGGAAGCGAGTTAGTGTCCGTATTTGTTCACAGAATCAGACACCATCACGATTACTTGTTTAAGAATAAACTACTTCAAATTTTTTCCTTGCTTAGTTGCAGCAGATAGATTACGGTTATAAAAATAATACGCACTTTAGTGTTGAAACACGTTGGCCACACTTTGGCCAGTAACTTTGTCCGAACAAGGTCTGTGGGGCTACGTCAGCAATAGCTACTAGCTCACAGCTTTGCAGGCTCCACAACCCAAAGGACTGAAATAGATGTCAAAGGAGTCTTCAACAATATTTGAAAACTGACACTAGCTGTATCTGTTTGTTGCTATATTTTCGGACCTAGCCCTCGACACAATGCTCATTCTCGGCTTAACAGGAGGTATTGCCACGGGAAAATCAACTGTTTCCTCGATCCTATCGCAGCCACCGTACTCTTTACCAATTATTGATGCAGACAAGCTCGCACGCCGCGTTGTCGAACCTGGCACACCAGCTTACTTGAAAATCGTTGAAAAGTTTTCTCCCACTACACCTGACCTTCTTCAGCCGCCATCGACTTCTACTTCTTGTGATACTAACAGGGGTGCACCGTTGAACAGATACGCTCTCGGCCAACGCGTCTTCGGCGACAGCGAGGAAAGAAGGAAAGATCGCGCAGTATTAAATAACATTGTGCACCCTGCAGTTCGGAAAGAGATTTTCAGAGAAGTCTTACTATCGTATTTGAAGGGGCACTGGGCAGTTGTACTTGATGTACCGCTATTATTTGAGAGTGGACTTGATTTGTTTTGCGGCACCGTAATCATGGTTGCAGTTACAGACGCTGAACTTCAAATTGGGCGTCTGATGAAGCGAGATGATCATTTGAGCCGAGCTGAGGCCCAAGATCGCGTGTTAAGTCAGGACAAGATGGAAGAAAAGGTTCAAAAATGTCTCCTTCGAGGCAATGATAGGGGTATTGTTATTTGGAATGATGCGGATCTCGATGCACTAAAAGATAGCATCGGGGCGGCCATGCTGAGTGTAGTCAGAGGTAGCCCGAAGTGGTGGGCCTGGTGCCTCCTGATATGCCCATTGCTTGGGAGTGTGGTAGGGCTCTGGAACTACTGGCTTGGTCTTCGTTTCAGCCGAAAGCAGAAATTGAGCTGAAATCTACTCCATATCATGAATAAATGAAAATAAGTAGTGGTATTGATCTCGAAGTGTGACGGCAATGCACAGACTTTTGGAACACGTATATGCGATGATCATTTTAATCGAATTTCAAGATATACAACTTCGTCTTGCACTACAATAATAAAACACTGGATTTCTCAGCCAAATTTCTTTTAGCGAGCGTGCTCCTCATCTATATGTACGCGCTTATATCTTCTACTTTACCTATACAACGCTCCATCTCATACACCTGAATCAACTTGTATCTCATAATCTTATCGACTTTAAACTTGATCGTCGACTTTGTATATGGGTCTGTTATCACAGACACGGAAATAGATTCATTAGATTGCTTAATAAGAGGCTAGGATTGATTCCGATATTATTTGGTAGAGGATTTGTCCCAACCACCAGAGGGCTACAACGTCTTTATCTATCTACAGGTAAACTCCCCATTTTTCAGCCCCGCTAGCCATACAGGACGTAGCATGTAAAGCCTGATTCGTATCATCATTTTGGGGTTGAGGTTTACCGTGTAGATGCTACTCGAGTCGCATGTCTGACTACTATCCGACTCGCTCAGGTATCAATCCAATAACCCACACCAAACCCAAACTACTCACAGCCCTAATTATGACCCCATGAATAATTGGAAAAGTAGCCTACAACATAGCACAATTAGGCTAGACATCGTTGACCAGGACCTAACACGAACAAATTATACCTCGTAGTGGTATTTGCAAATGAAACCCAGAGATCGAGTATCTTAGAGGCCGAAAGATTCACTAAACCTATAAATAAAGCGCTGATCATATTTTATAACTAGTTTGATGCTTTTAGATTGACTTATTTTCTAAAAATAAAACTCACATATCTTCTCTAATCCTCATCACAACCACGATAATTTGATAGATAGATCACTCAGCTAAAGAACAATGCGAGAATTTCTTTATCTAAGCGTAAGATATCTTCTTAGAGCTTTTCTTAGGAAAATTACATGAGACACGGTTTTACGTTGTGAATGTTGAACAGAGAACCCTACTTATTTGTTCTTGATTTTGGGTTAGAATTTAGAATAATTGGGGTTCTCAGGTAGGCCATGTCGTTGACATAGAAGTGAATGCAGATTCTGTGCTTAGTATCACTTCAGTAGTTACTAGAATGAATGCGTTCTACAGCTTCAATGACTGAGAGTTTTGATTCAATTTGATACCTTTAACGTGCCAGAAAATCCCTCCACCTATTAGTTGTGACACGAGTAGTAGAACCCTTAGGTTCCAAATCTACCTACATAACCGGCCCTCACTTGATGCAACAAATTAAAACTGACCCTCACGGGCCGGAAGAAAAAGACGGAAAATAAATACAGAAAAGTTATGGGTCACGGTGCCCTATGCCACGATCCTCTTCCGTAAGACACCTAATGATGCAGCGCCGCAGTAGAAACATTCTTGGCGTGGATTTGTTTTCCCCGTTATATTCTTTGCCTGACTGAAACATTTTGTTCCTATCAAATATTGCCTGAAAAGTTCCCGGCCTTTCTCTACCAACATGCACCTTGCCTTTGGTGCCGTATTCTGCCCAGAGATCCTCCACATATGTAGCCTGGGTCGACACTCTGCAAAGTGCCACTGCAGTTTCTCACGTCCACATGCATAATTGAGCTCGTCGTTCTCGTAATCGAACCGACGGTGATAGTCGGCATAGTCTCCGTAGCTTGTTCTAGCTGCTGTAAGTTCATGGCAAGCCCATCTTGGTGGAGCGAGCTCTGGTTGCCTTTTTTTCGTCCAATTATTGAGGTGTCATTAATTCCTTAATATTTTAATTAAATTTAACCTCGTGCCTGTCCACAGCTCGTGACCTTAGTCACGTGCTGGACGCCCTCGTCCCTACAAATCTACACGACGCTCAAGCGCGCCCCACAGCACCAAGAACAACTAATGAGTCCGGCCAGCTGTCCGCCACGTCAACGCTGAGAACCTCGAGCCAGGACTCGGAAACCTCCCATGGGTCTCAAGCGTTACGGACGAAGAATCCAAGTGGGTCACAACGGCCTGCCAAAATAAAGCCCCTGGACCACACGCAATTTCTGTGCGGCTTCTTAGGACAGCCTGGCCATCAATTGGTCACGCAGTGAGACTACTTTTTGAGGGCTAACTTCGACTGAATCACTTCCCAAAGGTATTCAAGCTGGTCGAAGTAATTCTCCTCCCTAAACCTGACCGCAATCTCAGCACAGCTAAAGGATGAAGGCCAATCGCACTACTCTCCTCCCTCGGCAAAAGTCTTGAGAGACCAGTTGCACGGTGAATGGTATATACTACCCTATCGTATAAGGCTTTGCTGCAGCAGCTCTTTGGAGCACTGTCTAGTAGATCCTCTAACGGCCTTATCTCATACGTTTTCCACGATGTGGAATATGCGACACCAAGGAAGAATAAAGCAGTCCTTGTCACTTTGGAAGTATAGGCGGAATTTATCGCTATACTCCACGGACGGCTGCTGCAAAAGATGAACAAAGTTGGGTGGCCGAAACCAGCCATCACTTGCATAAAGTCTTTCCTGGACGAACGATCTGCCCGTGTCAGACACGAAGACGGAGTAATAGATCCGGTATTCTTAGTATGCGGTCTACCACAAGGATCGCCTTTGTCCCCAATTTTCTTCATTCTTTACATGGCTGAAGTTGCGGGGGGCAGTACTTGGAGATTTGGCTATGTAGATGATGTTGCTATCCTCGGAATAGACTCAACCCCAAACGAAGCTGCAATAGCTGTCCAGAGAGAGGTCGACACAATCATAGAGTCGGCTGCTGATAACGCTGTCTCTTTTGGTCCAGGCAATGACGAAGTAGTCTATTTCCTCGATCCTAGAGCCAGGGGATACGAAGTTCCGATCATTAAAGGTAGGCCCTCGCCATGTACAAGCATCTGACGACGTCCGATGGCTCGGAGTACACCTTGATCACGACCTTAAGTTCGAGAGCCACGTCGCAAAATGGGCCAGCAAAGCAATGCGGCTAGTGCAACGCTTCTGACGACTCACTCTGTGCACCCAAGGGCCAAGGCCCCACTTACTAACCACAGTGATCCGTACGGTAGTTTTGCCAATCGCGATGCATGCAGCTGAATTCTGGTGCCCTTGGCCAACCAGAGAAACGTATCGGGGTGTTGCGCGAAATTCCTATAAGAGATAGTGCAAAGCCATTGGTCAGGCTTCTGTACTCAGAATTCGCGCTGCTCTACCGACCTGACGTACTATGCTCATCACAGCCCTGAGAAGGGAGACCGGCATTCCACTACCATACATTCTGCTCGAGGAACGCAGGCTTAAGACTGCCGCACGAATCCGAAGACAGGATGATTACTACCCGCTTCGACTCCGGGCTACAGGAAGCACCGACAGCGCTCGCCATCAACTCGGACTAAAGACATGCAAAAAAAGCAGACTTGGTCTCGATAGGGCTCATGATTCAAAGATCCAGAGGATGTATCGACTTCTGCCAGAGGCTGAACTACCTCCACCGTTCCAACCTCCGGCACTCCATCAGCCGAATCCTTGCTGGAAAAGCAAGAAAGAAGCTGCTAGGTTTATAAGAGAGTGGCTACCGAAACTCCCACCCGACTATCTCTGCGTTTATAGTCATGGTTCTGAGTCGTCCACCGACAGAGTTTTTTGTTTTTGTTATGTTCATTAACGTGCTAGGTTACATGGCTACCGTTGCACTACTATTGGAGCTTAAGCATGTGTGGGGTTGGGCCAGATCAGGTTAACTACCGTGAAGTACAGATAAACCTCGTCCCACTTTAATGACCGGACCACCTCAGACTTCACCTATGTGTTGAATCATACCAAGCCTAACCGTCCAGAACCCCGCTGTATACACGCCGTAGTGCGATTGCCTCCTCAGTCTCGGCCACCACGCGCCCGAGCCCTTGACATCCTCATTGACTCCGAAATATAAATGCCGTCCAAAATCTCATCGTTGCTCTAGCCTTGCACCTTCATATCGTACCGTTGGGTTGTTTTCGTCATTTGGGATTTGTGTAATCCCCTCGGTGTATCTTCCCTCTTCTTCCTCCCTTGTACACGTCCCGTTTCCATCATGACTTTCCTCATTAGGGCGTGTGTAGGTAGGTGATCGGACGGGTATGGAGGTAGGTCGCAGATGTAGGATCGATTGAGAAATGCTTCGTCGCAAGTATAAAAGGAGTTTAAGAGATGTCGGATGTTTGAGTACGACCCCCAGATAGACCTAGGCCCATTCGTGAATCGTATGTTGCTGGTGATGACTTTTTGTTCGACGTTGTTCCGGCTGTGAAATCTCTACCGACTGATTTATCGACCAAAATATCGAGTGCAACTCCTTCAAGTGGAAAATCCATCAATTAAAATTCATCCCACCCATCTTCGTGACTGAATCTCGGCTCTGGGAGAATATTTCACTCCCAGGTTCGTAGAGGACACAACTGACAGTTGTTCAGCCTTCGTCCTCCTCCACCGACAGAGTGTCATGCGCATTTGTGACTTTTATCAGTGGCACAGACACGGTAATTGGGCAAAGCGGCTCAGGCAAAATTACGAATGCGGAAGTCTACGACGCGGAGTTTCATGGATCTTTGGCTGCTCTAGAAGCAATTACTACTAACAAGCGAGGTCGAGGTCGCAGCGCCATCTATTTTCCGCTCCACGACTTCGCGGCTGTCCAGGCTTTACTGACGGGAACAACGGGCTCATCATCCTGACGGATCCAAAAGTTCTTAAAAATAGCCGCAAGATCAGCCGTACCGGTAAAAATTGGATGGATTCCGGGCCATGAATGGCTGGCAGGAAATAAAAATGCCATGAACTCGCTCGAAAAAAGCTTGATTCGTTAGAGAACGGAAGGATGATATATGGTGTGATAACCCTCGCCTCATCTGGATGGAAAGCTCGCGAACTGGCCAGGTAAATATTGACGGGCTGTCACAAAGAGCAGTCCCTTCAGCAGAGGCTGTGCCGCAACCTGCGGCTAAAGCCCCAAAGAATGATGCCCCGAAGGCAAAAGTCGACATGCGACTGTTCTTTTGCCTTGAAAGCGACCACCCGTGGTGAAAACTGTCCACAAGTATCTTGAGTAGTAATGTAGTGAGTACATTAAACTACTTTCACGATTATATGACAGTTGAAATCGGCGATACTTAGCTATGAAGGGTTGCATTAACATGGAACGAAATAAGGTTCGAATGTTACTAGCCACATTTTTTGCGACTCATACATTGACCAGCCTCCCAACTATCTGGCATAAGCTAGTGAATCGTATCCTTCGCTTAGCTATAGTAATTAGTTTAAATAGAGCTCTGATACTGAGTGGGTTTAATCAACAACTCTCCACTATAGTTTTCAGACTCTTCAATCTCCCAACTCGCTTCACTAGGTGATATTAAACACAAGTCCAACAGCTTACACTACTCCACCAAACTTCTATTCTAATAATAACCTCATTTCATCGAGCGAAGACCGGCTTTGCTATGTTAGTGTCAGGCGCAGGTTCACTAGGCGCAAGACTCGAGGCGTATGAGGGGGCGTAGCGTACGAGGTACCGAGGAAGGACGCCCCGTGGGAACGTAGAAGGCATTCTAGAGAAGTAGTAAAGAGGAACACGGGGAGTCGTTCTGGATTAAGTGGCCGGAGGTGACAGTAGGTCACTATGGTTGGCAGAGGACAAGAGTGAGATGTAATTTGAATTATGTAACTATTCCCAAAGACAGAAAACAAAGCGTGAAGATCTCAGCCTCGGAAATGAAAACTACATAACTATCCTCGCTAAGCAATAAAGCCTAGTGGGACTAAATAAGGAACTCATGAGCCCTACCTAAGCCTTTCTCCAGAATCCTTACAGTTGGCAAAGAACGAAAAGATACGAAAAGAGATACTAGATCGCCGTTGCGACTGGCGTGACACCAATCTATGTCCGACCTCATCAGATGTGCCAGCCTAGGACGCCGTATCGCTACTGGTAAGCCCTCTTCCAACAGGACTCTGCTCCCCGTACGGGCCTCCGCCTTTTCGACGAGTCTGAAATTGCTACCATCTTCAAGCCTCGTCGAACTATCGTCCAGTGCAAACGCTGTTTGGGCTTCCACGCCACTCCTGGTTGCTCCCGCGCCCAAGCCTGCTCGAGCTGCGGATCAGATATGCACTCTGAAATAGAATGTAAGGCCCTCACACAATGGGGGACCGGTGACAAAAGAACAGCTCGCGTGGACTTGCCACATCTAGCAAGGGAGATTCGTGGAGGTAGTACGAGCTCGAGCTGCAGCGAAAATGGCCGAAGAGGCGATCACCGCCTCAGCGTAGGATATCTCGATGGCTGAGGGATCAGGATTCGGAGAGCTGGAATCTGAAGAAGAATTAGGAGGGCACAAAGAGCTCGATGATGCCTCTCATAGGCATTTACTAACCCATAGAAGGATTTCGGCTGTATTAAAGGTGCCCGCTAACACATCTCTTGCTCTCAGCGGAGATTGAGTAAATTTGTTATTTAGAAGGTGTGATGGACGAGGGAATGTGTGTGGAGCGCATTTCTTGGGTCCAACATGGAGGAAATTTCTGTCTTTCGGGGTTGTTTTGATTTTCGTGATTTTTCGTTCTGTTTGAAACAACTGCACCTTTGGCGGCGATTCACGAGCTTGGAACGAATCAGGTTGTGGAACAAATCACATGAAACTCTGCCGACTCCACAAATCAATCACCCATAGTGGACTTAGAGCATTAGCTTAGGACCAATTGATTCAAAAAAAAACAGCTGTCTGCCACTCTGCTCTCCAATTTAAATGTAGCAATTTTCCTTTGAACAGGAACTTCATATTTGTTTTACAAGTACTTTGAAATTACACCGGCAGACTCCCAAACGGTTATGTATAGAGAGCCCTACTGCTACGGATAAAATCTATGTAATGCTAAGAAGGTTATATGACCCGACTAGCTTAGTTCATATGAATAGGTGAAATACTAACCCTGGACATCATTCAAAATCAGTCTAAATGAATCCACACTCGCCAAGAATCTTCATCCTAAACGTAATATACAAATACTAAATCTCATGCGCTTTGAAGTAACCAAGATGACTCTTGTGTCATTAATAAGCTAAGCGCTGATTAAGAATAAGGCCAGATAGTAAGATATAAAGACGACACTGAATGTTCAACGACAACTAGAGATCAATATGATTGTACTTAAAATTAAATTCCAATTTTGGAAACCTTATTATCTACGTCATAACTAAGATTTCATCGATATATTCGTTGTTTCGCAAAGATTGATTCGCAGTCACATGACTAAGATCGTGTAGACTTAGTCCTTTTTGTATGGACGGTCTTCCTGTCTGATTTCGGGAGTAGAGGGATAGCAGTCGATCTCCTATCTTTGTTAACTTTCCCAGGTGGGTTCTAGTGACCAAACTTAGTACCAGGGGCAAGCTGCTATATCTTCTCGATTAATAATCGCTTGTTGTGTAGGTCATCCACCGGCGATACAAAAAAACACAAATGTGTAGGTGGATATGTGGATACAAACTACCCAGCTGTAGTATTTTTTTTGAATTCAGGTAGTAAAGGATTACACGACCTTCACCCCTTCCAAGTATAATCTTAATGATAAAGATACCTTTCAAAATTAGAATAATTTGTTCCAGTGATAAAAGAATTTTCATATCTTGTGCTGCAGAAATTCTAATAGTAGATAAGGCGTAAGAGCTTTTTATTTAGTTCCACAAAATAGTTCGCGATAATTGCTTCCAAGAGGGCTGCGCCGACAATCAAAGACTGGATTATTTTTGTCGTTTAAAAAAACATAGATATATCCCTAGGGATAATTTTCTCTTTTTGAATAATCCACTGAGATACCAGGATAAGGTATGGATTGAGAAGATTAATTCCATCATATGATGAGTATATCAAGGAATGCTGTGAGGTTTTGGTTTAGGGGAGTGTGAGATTTTCCACAGTATGTTGAACCTCCGGTAGCAAGTTTGAGAGAATATTAGCATCACACATGGTAAACATAACATCTGAATGAGGTGTACCAGATTGAATGAGACGCTGCTTTGTGTTAGTGCATAATTATAATCAATTTGTCAGGTTAGCTTCTCAGAGGATCTCATTTGGGGTGCAAGAAATATATGGTATTCGTTGTAAAGATTGAAGAATGTTTGGTTTGAGATCTCAAATAGCTGGTAATCTTTGGAGAAAGACGTACCTTTCTTGTACTTTCAAAGCTATCTTCTTTTTCAGAATAATCTCTAATTATCACACCAGTTTCGAACTCAACGTAGATTCTGGTTTCTCTGATGCGAATGATTACATTATCCAGCCTCAAGAAAAAACGACAGAGTAAGAGCATTCGATCAGGCATTACCCTGAATTTACAAGTCAAGACAGATATTCCATTATCATCAAGTTCGCTCTCGTAAAGTACAATATCCCCGAAGAAAAGAATAGGATCTGGTCGCTTTAAAAGTTCAATAGGAATTGTTACGTTAGCACGATCACTCTGAGTAAACTGCTTTCCGTTGGTGATAGTTCCTTTGTAGCTAGTCGTGTAAGACCAATCAAATGGCTTTACGACTTCCTGGATTCCGTGATGTGCTTTCTGTCTATTCTAAATTAGCAATATTCTTAAAGAAGCAATATACCAACCTGCTTTTAGACCATTCTTGCGAATAGGCAACCTTAAGCATATTTTTATCCGTCTTTTCAACCTGGTCTAATGCATCAAAAGCGTTAAAATCAATCCTCCAACCGCTGTTGATGTGTTCAATCGAGACGTAATTGTCGCCAAATATCATTTCTGGGACAGGAATATGAAGTTTTTCAGACATCTTATCTATCGAATTTGATTTGGAAATGGGTAGTTTCCGAGCACTTATTTTAAACCCCTTTTGTATGTGTGACATGGTGAACTTATCAGCTACATCCATATCAGGATAGTACTCATCCATGGGACCGAGCAAAGTCATAATTATTAGTTTAAATGGTAACCTACTGAGTATATGATCAGATTCGTAGGCAACTCTTCACAGTAATTACGTCGTTCGGCATGCGGAGGTGACTAATCATTGGCAGAGCTGTCTAACCTCGGTTGTTCTGCCAACCGCTAGCTCTTCAAAAATCAACAGGATTGTGTAGGTACATATCCGTAGCCGCAACATAAACAACTTCTTCATGTTATTAATACGATCGTTAAATTCTAATTCCACATAATTTTTATAATGGCGACTCGCACCCTCGAATCACGATTCGAAAGTCTATCTGTTAACGATGAGAATGACCCAGGAGACGGAAAAAGGTGTATAAAAACTAAGGTGACTGCGATAAAGTAATGAAAACAGAAAATTAGTTTGACAAATTTCCAGGTGACTGGAACTTCCAGCTACAATCAGGGACCTCATGGCTCATCTCGGACAAATTTACTCAAATTGGCGTTACAGTCCCAAAATATACCAAGCGCAGTAGTGACAGTCCCTTCACAAGCCAGTCAATGGCGAGCCTCAAATATTACAGCTGCTGCGAGCCCTCACGCAAGAAAAGTTGTAACAGTCTCTTGCCGAGGGTCATCTGAATTAAACCAAATCGAGAGAAGAGCAAATCCCTTATACGACCAACCAGCTCCACCAAAACAATTTCATCTAGGAATGTTCGAGATTGGTAGACCACTTGGAAAAGGAAAATTTGGCCGAGTCTACTTAACTAGAGAGCGAAGCTCAGGCTTCGTGTGTGCCTTGAAAGTCTTGCACAAAAACGAATTGCAGCAAGGTAAAGTCGAGAAGCAAGTCAGAAGAGAAATTGAAATCCAGAGTAATCTGCGCCACCCTAATATATTACAATTATACGGTCACTTTCACGATAGCAAACGAGTGTTTTTGATTCTCGAATTTGCCGGTAAAGGAGAGCTGTATAAGCACTTGCGCAAAGAAAGACGATTCACTGAATCCAAGGCTGCCCAGTACATAGCTCAGATGGCAGCTGCGTTAAAATACTTACATAAGAAACACGTCATACACAGGGATATCAAACCAGAGAATATCTTGGTCGGTATTCACGGAGAGATAAAGATATCAGATTTCGGATGGAGCGTACATGCGCCCAACAACCGGAGAAACACAATGTGTGGCACACTAGACTACCTTCCGCCAGAGATGATCAAACCTGATGGTTCAGATAATTATTACACAGAGAAAGTTGACTTGTGGAGCTTAGGTGTCTTAATGTATGAGTTCTTGGTCGGAGAAGCTCCATTCGAAGACACACCTGTGATGACTCAAAGAAGAATTGCGAGAGGAGAAATGACGGTTCCTAGCTTTGTAAGCACAGAGGCGAAAGACTTGATTAAAAGGGTAAGCACCCGTGTCGTAATGAAGATCAAATTTAACAAATGCTTTAGCTTCTCGTCCTTGATCCTGAGAAAAGGATACCACTCGAACAGGTACAGATGCACCCCTGGATAATAAAACATTGCGTAAAAGGAGAGCGCTCTACCTCTCAAAACTCAAAACCCGCTGGCGGCAAATCGACTGTGACGGTGAAAGAGTGAGGACTTCGTTACAGTGTATAGGTGTTGGAAAGGTATCGGCGTTTAAAGCGTTTTTGAGAATTTTCGGGAAATTCTATTTACTCATGTTTGTAATGAATCAGTCAAATCGTTTTTTCGTACTGTTACGCACCGTCCTTGTATACAATCCGCCTTCCTAATACTTTACCTGTAGATCTCGTCAAAAGGGCGGGTATCATTGAAACACGAGTCCCAAACTTCGTCAACAACGCTGCTAGCTTGGGACTCATCTTTGCATCTGGAAAGCATAGACATTACGGCTCGTTTTCGAACACACTCTTGGTGTTGCTCAGTTATGGTCCAGTTATTTCTTTTAAAGAACTCTCTTGACCACCTGCATTCACCACTTAGACTTGATGCACGAATCTGACGGAGTTAGCGCTTTCCATAACGTTGAAAGGCAAGTCATTACCTCAGTACACGCATTATGCCTCAGATCCATCCAGTTTATCTTCCACCGTAGATGGTCCCATGCATGTATCATCTCGTGCGCCAAGGTGTCCTCTAGATGTTTTCGATCCTGTAGCTCATTTGCACATATTAAAATTCCATGATCAGGCGTGAATCCACCTGACTGCCTCCTCCAATTCCCTTCTTCATCTTTCCACGCTGGACATCTCCGGCATCTGACTGTGTCCTCATTAATTTCTCCGTTTAATGCCTCTATATTTTTCTTCATGAAAATAATGGTTGGTGAGTATTTAAAGCACCAATCTCTATATTCGTCACAACGCTTGCAGTCAGCCTTTTCATTTTTTCGAGATAAATCTTGACTCCATTCCACCTGCCCGCTGTACGACATTCTTCCAGTGAAAAATTTCCAATAATTACTCCACCAGGAGGCTTTTGCATCGTAGCCGCCCAGGTCTGATTTCGATGAGTTGTCGTCCCTTGGTTGGCTCATATTTCTTCCTGACCTAGAACCAACGATTCTCGAAACGAGCGGGAGATGATCTTCAAGTGAATTATTATTCGAGTTTATCAACTTAAGGTATCGTGTAAACAGTTAAGGGCATTCCTGAGTGCTGAACTGAACAAACTTATGTTCTCAGCGTCCCATCAGACATATTTTATTTATTTTCGGCTAAACTGATTATCTTGTTGCTGGCATAATTGACACCCAGTCACGTCGAAATTGAAAAATAAATATGCGTTTCCCGTATCGCAGTGCACTGATTAGTCTACCTGCACAGGGGCGGTGCAGACGACGCTATGGACACTGTCGCGGCTGGATGGTCACGTGGTGTATCATTTGGGGCGGTCTCCCAAGAACAGTTTCTATATCTTAGATACATACCACCCCAGACACGATATCGCTGGTTCGAGTCCAGCAGAAAACAGCCACATGTCTCGCGTTGCTAATGCGCATGGACGACGAAGGCATGCTTGGATGACCAAATGTTTTAAATTTCCCTTTCATGGACACTCACGGAGGAGAGTCATTTTTTCCATCATTTATAGTGGATCTGGGGTTGGATGGTGCAGTGGTACACTATCCGGGCCGTTTTCCCAAGTAGATACTGGGTAGCTTGAACACCTACCCCATTTTTTTTTAATCCATTTATGTCCTATACCTACCCCATTCAAGACAGGAGAAAGCTGGTTCGAATCCAGTCAGACCCACAAACCACTCTATCTCGCGGTGATAATGTACTTGTGGGATGATGAAAGCACACTCGGATAGCCACAGGGTTTTCCCGCTTTTCCCTGTGTTGGGTGTGTGTGTGTGTTTTATTGTACTACTTGAGTCTATGACTATCTAGCACATTGGGCTCCTCTCTGACCCAGGCCACACCTTGTACAGTGCTCCTATCCTCTTTTGTTACTTGAAAGATCATTGATATATTCCCCTTGATGAATAGCCATTCAGCTCAGTGTTTACCCGTGGAATTTGGCCACCTTTTCCACCGAACCTTCTACCCAAAAAAATAAAAAATGGTAGCAATGGAAACTGCGTGCGCGGGAAAAAGTCTCAAAAAACCTGCAGCCCCAGCCAGGCGAGGCCTAGACACCGGGACCACATGAGGTGCGCATATTCATCTATGTCTCCCTTCTTTGTAACAGTCGAGGCCAACTTGATCCAATCCACCATCTCCGTATCGGGTGCTGGGTACGCTCCGGAAACTCATCGGATGGCATCTCCTCCATGATCAAGGGTTGGTGATGAGTAGGGCTCCGACCCTACCATCTGATCTGATCGTGGTTAGCTTCATGATAGTAGTGATAGGGGAATGTATTGAGAGATGAAGACGATACAGACCGCGAAAGCGATTGGGAATCCTCGTCGAAGTGAGGACTTTGTTACTCAATCTCGGCTCTGCAGACTCTACAGTGAGAGCTGGAGGTTCGTAGGGGACACCACTGACAGGTGTTGAGAATAGTCCCCCCCCTGTGTTGGGTATTCACGGAAGAAGTTATCCGCCGTAAGGGTTAACCTCGAGTGGTATCTGCAAATGAAATCTGAGTGTAAATGTTCTAATCGTCAAATTGAATCATCCTACTTAAAGTACATATCTTCCGATAAAAACCTGCGTGGGCCTCAAGGCGCCAAGTGAGGTAAAATTAATTATATATATATATATGGTGGATCCAGACTTTACTAGCTATACCACACTTGTTGTTGTTGTTTTATTCAAGTCCTAAGCTAAAGCTCCAAATCCACTATGAGTACAGGACCGATGTTCACAGCCAGAACTACCTCTAAGAAATACCCAGCTTGATTCCACCGCATGAACCACCACAAAACCAGCAGTAAGTTAAAAATATGCGCCGACGCGAATTCCTTTTCCCAAAACCGACAAAAGAAAAAGATAAATTGCAAATAAGTTAGAATGGGAAGCAATACTCCTCGCCTCGATTCCCATTTTGTCAGGTTTAGTTTCCTGACGAGTTATATTCGATCTCCACTGAGAGTAGGAGATGGATGCACAGGAGAATACCCAAAACAATTGGTATCCTGCGCAAATTGTTTGAAGCTCTCGAAGCACTTAGGCCCGAGTAGCTTATGTAAGAAGGCATTGTGAGACAATGACCTTCTGATTCGACGCGTGATATTTGCGTTGAGTCGAAAATGTATGAAGTGGGTAGGGGTGGTTTCCTCCCCACAGATGCACTCTGTGATAGCGTGCGGATTGTTAAAGCGTCGATGGTACGCCGCGAAATTGCCGTGGCCCGTACGGGCTGCAATGAGATGTCGTAACTGTAGCCTGGAAAGCCCCACTTCTGATGGTTTACCACGGCGCATGAGCAGATCTAGCTCACGATACCGTGACGGGTAAATTTCATTCCACCAGCTGTCGAGCAAAGTCTGTCGCTGTCGATGCAATTTTTGGTGTAAGAATGCTGTCGTGGTGGTTGCTGGTTCAGTTTCCACGCTGGGAAGCGTTCGTAGGGCGGATTTGGCCGCTGCGTCTGCTTCCTCATTTCCATGTAGTCCCGAGTGTCCTGGTACCCACTTTATTCTTACCTGAGCTAGCCCAGATAACTCGCGAAACTTTCGTACTTCCTCGTGGCTGGTCGAGGACCTGCCTGTGCTCAGTGCATTTATTGCATATCGACTATCCATCAACACATCAATACACTGCGTCGTTCCCTTCGACAGGTACTCCTTCCCTCTTAGGTGACCTAACGCTGCTATAAGTGCTTCCTGTGCCCCCGTAATCTCTGCGTCTAAAGCCTCTCCACCGTGATTTATCCCACTTCCTTTTCGAAAAGTTTTTCCATCCAGCTTTAGGACAAACCCCCAAGCTGAGCGTCCGTTTCTGTAAAGGGTTTAAAGAATTCAGAAGTACTTGAAAGACGTTAACTCAATAGGAATTGATAATTTTTCCTTGGGAAGCTAATCTGCCTACGACGGCTCCTGTCCTTTATGTCCTCCTCAGCGTCGCGTTTAAGCTCCCCTCCTAGCCTACCTGAGAATACTCCATTCTCCCCGGCTATCCTCTTTCCTGTGACATCCTCCCCCCCTTAGTACGTACTCCCTTGGGTCCTTCCTCATGCGCAACCTTGCAATTATCCTTATCCAACACTGAGACTCGTTCTTGTGCGCAACCTTGCATTAATCCTTATGCGACACTTAGATCCCTCTTTGTACGTATCCTTGCATTCTTCCCCATGCAACCTTTCGCGTCTCTGTAAGCGCTGCTTCGTTGGCGCTTAAAGATCTAGTCGGGTTGGTCCTAGTGACCAGTCCCAATCCGGGCACAGCCCGTAACAGTTTCCTCCTGATGATCCGTCCGAGTACGCACAGATTTCTGACTTTGGCACATTAGTGATCCAAAGTTTACAGGCTTCTACTTGGTCTTTTCTCAAACCAACCTTCGAACCCAGCCGCGATTGATAAATTGGTGAGGCAAGAGGTTCCGCGGTCTCTTCCTCTGGTAGCTGTCTATAAGCACGCTGAGCCCGTGATATTTGAATTTCAGGATGCGCAGATTTTCGATTGTGCTTCTTATATTTCCGCGTACCGACATTTGGGCAAACTGCAGCACGGATCCTGAGCGGATGGCGGTCGTCAAGTGTTTGCATTCTGGCAGAGAGGCGAAGTTGGTTTCCTTCGAGTATGATTTTCCCGGTTGTAATTCCCCCTTCTCTATGAAGTACGGCGTTGGGAGTTGTCCTCATTACTGGTAGTGCTGACCTAAGACCTATTAAGACAGCCTTATCAATCATACTGCATAGGCCAGCAGTGGGCGGTGTCACCATCCCTCGTACTGTTGGGCGTCTAAGGCCAAGTCATCAGACGTCAGCTCCGTACGTTGCGATTGGGACGATACGTGTGTCGATCGCTTTAACCAACGCCCCAGGACCGGCTCCTCGGTAGGCTGTATTGAAGCGACGCATGTGCTGTGCAATTTTTAACGCTTTGCCACACCAGGCTGTGACGTGGTGTTTGAAGTTTAGTCGAGGATCGAGGTACACGCCAAGCCAGCGGACATTTTGCGACGGTTCTATGAGGCTTTCGTTGACATAAATTCCAACCGATGTTTCGCGGTATCGTCCAGGGAATTATACGACTTCGGACTTGTCTGTATCGAAAGCGACGGCATTATTTCGAGCCAAGTCTAGTAGGTTATCGACCTCGTCCTGTGCTGCGACTGCAGAATCTGCAATTGTCCGGCCAAATCCAAGGATACCAATATCGTCGGCGTAGCTAAACCTAAGTCCCGGGGTTACAGCTCGCATTGGCTCTGCCATCTATAGAAGGAAGAGAAGTGGCGAGATTGGTGAGCCCTGCGGAACTCCGCATACTAGCTCTCTCTTGGCAGTGACTCCCCCAGAGTATCGCACTTGAACCATCCGATTGGCGAGGAAGGAGCTAGTCAATTTGAGAATAGACTCCGGACATCCCTGCTCCTGCATCCTCCTTACTAATCAATTATGGAGTACCGCGTCGAATGCTACTTGAACGTCCAACGTTACAAAAGTAGCTTCCCATCCTTGTGAATTTGCCTCTTCGATGTCGTGGACCACACATGAGACCAGATCCGTTGCTGAGCGCTTCATCAGTGCGCCAAACTGTTACTGGCCGACTACATCATGGATAACTGCAAGGTGTGCCATCTGCTTAGCTAAGAGCCTTTCTAACCCTTTTCCCAAGCATGAGAGAAGAGCGATTGGTCTCCAACCCTTGATTGTCGTTGGGTCTCTATCGTTCTTTTGAAGGAGGAACACCTCAGCTAATTTGAAGCACTGTGGATGGGTGCCAAGCAGAATACAAGCTCGGAACAGTTGGGAAATTCAAGGCCCGATTGTATTCCAACACGCCTCCAGTAGGTTTATAGAGACTCCGTCTCTTCCTGGGGCCGTATTTCCGCAACCAATGGTGCAGGCTCGGACTTCTTCATCTGTTACGTCCTCTTCCCATGGTATCCGACTGCTGCTCGCGACTGTACATGGTGACAA